TTTTTAGTAGAGATGCCTCTGTTCATATCCATAAAGGTGCTTACTTGAGCAGAACAATAGCAGAAGGGGTTATTGTTTTAGAGTTCTGGTGTGAAATGGTTCAAATCGGAAGAAGTAGTTGCAAGCAGGGCAAAATGCTTGGACAAGTGAATGAGAAATGAAGGGTGGGGCCAGGTGATTTTGGGGCCTCCCTTCCAATAGGTTAAATAACTAAATAAAAATGAATCAATTTGAAACAGTATAAAAGAGTGCTCAAACAGTACTAGCAGCAGTGACCAAGCTGGGGGACAGGCCACTGTCAGGGATGCTCACCCACACACAGGCAGCAAGACCACTCAGGCTCAGGGTCCAGCAACAAAGGGTTTAACAAATAAGAGATTGGGGAAAGGAAGGAGTTTCTGAGGCCACAAGCAGCTGGCGGTCTCACCCCAGTTAGTGTCTGCAGTATCCAGAAGTCCCAAATGAAGTCAGCATGGGGATGATAAAGTGATACTGCAGCAGCTGCAGCAGCCAAAGCAGCTGCCTGAAGGCAGGCCAGATGCCAGACCAGGCAGCCATGGACTCAACAGCCCCAGGAGGTGGTGCAGGAGACGCAGAGGCTGGGCTTAGCTCCAGGTGGGCGGCTGGCATACTACAGCAGAACGGCTCTCAGCGACACCATATGGAGAATTATGGGGCCCCTTGCAGGTGATGTCAGAGGCAGGACTGGAAGAAGAAGCCAGTGGCTGGGTCTCTGTGAAGGTCTACGAGCTATTGAAGTGTGAAGGTATGGAGGTTGTCTAGTAGTTTCTGGAGGGCTGCTGAATCCCACAGAGGTTGACTGCTCAATGCTTGTCTCTCTGGAGGTCGGGAGCAGAATCCTTTGAAGGTAGTCTGGTGAACGCTTCCCCATGGAAGGCTGGCTGCTGGCTGACTAACCCAAGCTGGCTCTTGCTCTGCCTTATATTCTCTTCAGGGTCTCCACCCCACCAACTTGATTGGACCATTTTCAGTCCTAAGCATCTGATTGGATGATTGAGCACCAATCAGCACCTTCTCCATTTTCAAGCCAAATATATTAATTCAAGGTCGAGTGACAGCTGGAGAGGGCAAATCTGATCGGTCCATTTAGTACCCTAGAGCCACATATAAATTTATTTTATTTTTATGCATATAAGAGCTGGGGTACAGGGCCTCCCCGGTGGCGCAGCGGTTGAGCGCTGGGTTGCGAAGCTGCCCGCGGCCTCTGCGGCGCCGGTTCGATCCCCGGCTGCTCCCAGGCCACCGGAGGAGGATCCCACATGGTGCGCAGACCTCTCCTGCCGCCCGCTGTTCCCCTCAGCAGTGTACTTCGGTCCTTCTGCTTGCTCTGCTCCCCACTCTGGCTCTGGTGAATTCTCTCACCCTCCCGCACTTCTGACTGTACGCAGTGCATGTATAAACAAAACAAACAAAATAAATAAATAAATAAATAAATAAATAAATAGAAACATGCCTCTAAAAAAAAAAAAAAAGAGCTGGGGTACAGGCCAGAGGTACAGGGCAGTGAGAGGATTCGCCAGAGACAGAGTGGGGAACAGAACAGGCAGATTGACAGAAATACACTGCTGAGGGGAGCAGTGGGCGAGTCAGGAGAGGTCTGCTAGCCATGTGGGTTGCTCTGTGGCTGGGGATCCACCTCATGCTACAGTGGCTGCTATTAACTTCATAGGTTGCGTCTTAACCCCATGTGCCACCAGGGAGGCCCCCTAAAGCCACATATAAAAGGGGGAAAGCCTGACCTCTGCCTAGACAGGCCTGCCCTGAGGTCAGGGCAGGTTCAGGGGGTGAGGGAAGCCTTGACTGGAGGTGGCCTTGCCAGGTAGGGAGGGAGAATATCCACAGGCAGTGGGCTGAGGCTGGCTCAGCCCCTGTAAAAGCCCCTTGCTCTGTGGCCTCTGGGCACCAAGGGGATCCAGTTACAAAGGCTCTCCTGCATTGCCAAAGGTCCTGTGTTCTGAATCATCTTAGGAAATGAGACAAAGTATTTAAAGAAGTGCCTACCTTGTTTTCTGTGAGGAAAAGGAGATAATGTTCTTTTAAGTGCATCTGCAAAGTCTTCACTTGCTTCAGAAACAAAGGGAAGCCTTGCTCTGAATAAAATGAAATTGGTACCGTCAAAGGTGCTTACCCCAGGACTGTTTTCCTCCAATTTATGCCTGAATGCCCCTGGAATCTGAGGACTCTGTGCTGAGATAAACTCCCCTCCTCACCTCAGGAATGTTCTCACAGTTCCCTCTGTGAGGACGGTTACAAGCTCTGTGAATGTGAAGGCAGCTGGGCTCAGGGAGCTTCTCATAGGAGAGTAGTTAGACAGACAGGAAATGAGTCTTCACCACAGACAATGGTGAGAGTCTAGCTTCCAGTTTCCCTCCTGAAATTTTTCTAGGTACTCCATTTCCCTGTTGAAGGTAAAACTCCTGTGTTAGGTTCAAGCTTCACTCCTAGTGTCCAATATAGATTTCAAAAAAAAAAAAAAAAATTTCATCAGCTTGGCCTTCCTGGGGGCGTTGGGGTTAAGTCTCAGAGCTATCACCACTAACGCCTGAGTTCGATCCCCAGCCTGGGAGCTGACCCACATGGCACAGCAGACCTCTCCTCTCTTGCTTGCTGCTCTAGATCTGCCTGTCCTACTCCCCACTGTGTCTCTGGTGAATCTTTATCCCTGTCCCCCGCAACTCTGGTCTACACCCCAGTTCTTCAATACCCCCCAAAATTGAACAAAATTCATCAGTCTTAATTACCAGCCCTCCCTTCTTATAACCCAAGATGACTGGAGAGGGTCAGCCCAACTAACACTGTCTTAGGTTCATCCTACACACACTATCTCTTTCTACTTCCTCGCCCCCCAAGTCCCTGGTACAAGTCCAAGGCCAAGAAGCAAGTGCAGCTTGTTCACATTTCTCTGTTCCATGTGCCTCCTCCAGGCCTCTTCTTGCTCTCCTTTCCTTCTTCCTGTCTTCTCTAGCTTCTCCTTGCTGCTCTGAAATCCACCTTCCCTTGAGTGAGGCAGGGAACCTGGAACCTCCCCTTTCCCTGGGGACCACCCTGTTACTTTGTTAGAGATAAAACAGTATGACTTCTGCCATTCTGCCTGCCTTCATGGTCTGGCTATTTAGCTTAGCGTGGATTTCCTGGACTGGTGGCTGTGGGTTGTGGGTCAGCGTTCTCTTCAGCTTCTTGTCCATTTGTATGTTCAGCCTTAGGAATGAATTGTGGCAAGAAGGAGGCAGCCTCCACGGCTTTGAGAAAGGTGTCCCCGGAGGCGCAGGGCAGGAGAGTTTGCAGTCAGCTCCTTCATTTGTGGCCTCTTGGCCGCAGTTGATTGGAGAACTGGAGTATTTACAAAGGACGTGGAATAGACTAATAATTGCTATTGCAGCTATTTTAAAGCATTTCATTCAGTTTGCAAGTGGAACACAACATTTAAATGTAATTGGTAAGTTTGCTGTAGCAGACTTAATGTATTTATGAAAAAAAAATAGAATTTGGGCTCTGATCTGCAACGTTAATACACCGACTGTAACTTAAAAATCAAAGCAAATTCTCAAGTCTTTTTAAGGATAAAAAGACTCCCTTGATGTTACAACTCACAATTCTTGGGCCTTTGGGGAGTAAGGGCTGGGCGGGGCAGAGAAGATACATTTCCCTGCACAATCTTTTTATAAAACTTGGGAATTTTTAACATGTATTTCTTTTATAATCATATATTTCTTTTATAATCATTTAAAAAAACTAAAAATTTTTTGTGCAATGAAGTCATGTTGACAGTGAGATAACATATAAAAAACATCTGGCATAATATCTGGTGGGGTGAGATAAATAGCAATTGTTTAACATCCCATTGTAACAGGATTGCCCCCAGGGAAAGGGGAGGTTCCAGATTCTCTGCTCCATCTAAGGGAGGGTGGAGCTGAGCAGTGGGGAGGAGGAACTGGAGAGGAGACTGGTGGGAAGGAAGGAAGCAGGATGGGAGCCAGAAGGAGACCTGGAGGAGGCACGTGGAGCAGAGAGACATGTGAAGAAGCCTTGCGTGCTTCTCGGCCTTGGACTTGTACCAGGGACTTGGATGACATGGAAGGAGACACTTGAAACAGATGTGGGTGAGAGACCTGTGGGGAGGCTGACAATGGCAGCCTTATCTTGATTTTGCTATTTCTGTCCCAGATGTCCTGGCCCCTTCTGGCCCCTCCTGCCCCTTTCCTACGGGTCCCCACCAGGAAGTGCCTTAGGCTCGTGACAGGCTTTCAGGCTGCAGTGTTCCTGATTTGGGCCAACCCTATTTGGCTGGACATTTACCCATGCGAGGATGCATAACTTAGGGTGCTGAATTTGGGAACTGTATTCTTTTTCTTTTCTTTGTTGCATACTAGTTGTATTCAAGTTCTTTTCTATTGAAGGTCTTACATACTAGAGTATATTTTATCTTGATATGGTGGATGGCAGAACTCATTTAGAGTGGGCAGGTTTGGGGGTCCTGGAGTGCCCCTCACCTTGCCCTGTGACACCATCATTCCTCCAAATAACCAAGGGGTACTTTGCTCATGAGTTTCTAGTTGACCCTTTGATGGCCTTCCAATCCTTGATGGGAAAATATTATTAGTTTGGGTCCTGAGAATATCATCAAGGATCAGAAAGTTCTGTGTTTGTCCAGTTATGGAATGTATTTGACTTAGTTAGATTACAATTCTAATGTGATTTTAGCTGGTCCAAAAAAGAAAAAAATCCAAGGATGGAATTAGTTAAAATCTGGATTATATGTTGTCCAGAAAAAAAAAATTAATTCAAAAATGAGATTATCCTTTCTATTCTTCCCATACTTTCCTCTTTCTGAGCCCAGGATCACAACCGGTCCAAAGGGTTTAAGTGAGATTTGGAGAGACAGGTTCTGAGGACACTGTCCCTAAATATGAGATATATATTTGCTCTATTTCTTTCAAATATTGTTAATTAAATCCAGAACAGACCAAAGGATTGTTTTAAAAAAAATGAATTTATTAAAATGCTCATAATTATAAAAGAATATTAAAATGCACAGAAATTCACAATTAGAAATTTTACATCTTATGGCAGAGTGTCTGAAAAGCATCACATACTCAGTTCTACTTTAGTTAAGCTGCTCTTACATTTTAATGTTTCAAACATCTTAACATATGAACATGAGAAGATGATACAAGAAGTGTTTCAACACAGAGCTTGTGCACGCCCCCTCCATGAAGTAATTTTTTCTGAAATTCAATATACAAGTGCAATTAAAAGGGAAGACTGGTGAGTTTATAGGATGGCCTTGTTTCATTTTCAAAAATGATGGCTTGCTAATACCATATCTAAAAGATTGGAGGACTCTATAAGGAAAAATCCCCTGAGAATTTTGGTCAGATGCTTCAATTCATTTAAATTCATAGGCATTATAAAATGATACAAAACTGACATTTCTCTAGTGGTTAACACTGGACAGGTGTGGGACCAGGTTGTCCCTTCACAGGTACAAGGGCACACCATCTATACTCCCTGTGTGGCCTCTGCTCACACTTAGAGACCCAGCCAGATTGCTGGCAGACTTCTCTCCATCGACAAGTCCGCACGAGACTTGCACTGCTGGTGTCATGGGTGCCCCGGGGTCCCCACTATGACTGAGCTGTCGGGGACACCAGCAGTGCTATACATCACACTGCTCCCTTTAAAAAAGCTGAGGTGTTTTCTCTCCCCATCCACAGAAGCACATTTTAAATGACGAGGAGTATTTATGAAAGATGATTAATGAAAACATAAATGCACAAAGCTTTTCAGTTCTAGTGTACATATAAGGAGATAAGGCAAAAACATTTCCTTTTTTGTTTCCATAAACAGCGAGTAATTGTGAAACCGACACTAGGAGATAGTCACACACTTCAGAAGAAAGCAGAGGTAATAGGAGAGGTGACCCCACTTCTCGTAGCAGCAGGGAAAGCACAGTGGAGCCCCCACTAGGTTGTGGGGACAGGAAAGTTTCTGCACCAGGAAAACATTCATTTCTCCGTCGCTTGTGGCCAGGTTGCCAGGAGGGTCTGTGAGTACTGGAGTCGCGTCAAGAGTTGGTGAAATGCAGTCCCTGACCCACTCGGACGATTCCGCAGTCCAGAGTACTGCCTGGATGAAACTGCACAAACACTTTTTAATGTTCATTTGTCTTTTTAACATTCACAGTGGGCATTTGATTCCTGGAGATCAGTCACTCTGCTATACTGATACAAGCCTCTGAGTCTGCTCCCTGAAACACGCTTGGTGTTCCTCTGCCGCTGGGATCCTGAGAGGCTTCGCTCCTTTGGCACCTGAGCATTTAGCAGCATCCAGTGGGTGGCAGCCCATCCGGCAGGAGCCCAGTGCCAGGCATTTCTTCCTGCACCCAGCACCGCCTTGTGACCGTCAAGGGAGGAAGGTGCAGGCCCCATGTCTTCTCCAGAGCCCGCTGGGCGCCTACAAAACAGCAAAGTGCAGTAGAGACTGCTAAACTGAGCAAATCAAGGGCAAGTAATGCATGGGGTGGGGGAGCAGGGTTGCAGCAGGAAGTAACTTGCAGCTGAAGGCAGGTTTGTGAGCAAACGGAGCTCTTTTCTTAATCACCTGATTGGTTTTAGCAGAGGTTAGAAGCTCAAATCAAATCCAGAGCCTCTTTTCTTGATTGGGAATAATCTGGATACACTCTTGCTTTACCCCTCCCTCCCCTCATTGGCCCCCTGATGCAAATATGCAATTATATGCAATGGGTAGAGCAAGGAGCCCCATTTACTGTGGCAAATTCTTAGGTGTGCTGATCAAGCCGACAAAGCACTCCACTCTCAGGGGACACAGAGCAGCTCGGAATCGGGAGCCTGCCATCCTCGTCACCACGCACAGCACGGTCAAGTCACAGAGGCTGCGTGGTGAGCCATCCACAGTGGTGCCGTGACCTGTGATACTGAAACTCCTGCATCCAAAGGCAACTGGTGGGAAATTGAGGGGCTTCTCTTTTCCAGACCATTCAATTGATAAAAATGCAATTTTAATCACTCCATTTCAAATTTTCCCTAACATATCTTTAGAAGAGGTAAGTTAATTATCCTGATCAACATGATTTACAGGTCTAGTTGAATGTGTCCCTTTCCCCATTTCTGTCACTTTTATTCCCTGGAGAGATGCAAAGCAGTCAACACTGATTAGGCACAGAATAGTCTAGAAGAGATTCTGGAAGATAAAAGGTGTCACCGTGGATTAGTACAAGTAGGCTTCAGAAACTCAGTGTCTATTGCAGTCCATTAAGAGTATTTCTTTGAGATGGAAAGGCAGGCATGAGTGGTGACCAACTATTTCCTCTTACTCACTGAGGTTTCTTTTTTCCTGTCGGGATGTGATAACACACCTAAATACTGAAAGTGTTTGGGTCAATCTGTCCTTGGATGTAGCATTCAAAATGAATTCTGAGTTAGCGATTTTTAATCACAAGCTGGTAAAGTGGTAGCTTGTCTAGTTTTCGATGGTGCCACTGGAAGGGAAAGAGAATTCTGGAACAGATCTGGTAAAGTGAAGAAGTAAAATACTGCAGGAAAATAAAAGAGATCATGTGCTTGAGAGCAGAAAGGGATGAAAGTAATTAAATGAAGGGAAAAAAGGTTCTGTTTCAGAAAGGGTAGGTTTTCAGCACACTAAGAGATTCTTCTGTGTTACTAAACTTCCAATATTGCAAAAAAGGTAATATTGAATGTTTTCCAGGTGATTAGTTTTATGCACTTCTTGATCTAAGTTTTATATTTCTAGTTTCTGCACTGCTAGCTAAAACTGAAAAAATAATCTACAAGGAAATGGTAATTGTTAAGATTTCTTCATCTAAAGGATTTAACTTAAACATTCCCATTAGTGATTCATAATCTATTTTGACAGAGCTGAAGTCCTTAAAGTGCATCTCAGAATTTTACAAAGCTCTTATTCTAATTTGGGTCGTAAATTGTTATCTGCTACTTCTCCTATTTTCTCAACGATGACCCCCAGGTTTTTCGTCATATCTTTGAGGTGATTTTCACGAAGAAACTTTTGCGTTAGGTACTTTTCTCTCTTGATCTTGCTCTTCGTGCTTTTCGATACGTCTGGAATTGTGTAGGAAATGAAAAACTTCACAGAGTAGATGAGATGCTGTAAAAGAGAAGGAAGAAGTGTCAGTCAGAGGGAAACAGAGTTCGGTTCAGCTGTCTGTGCTGGTCCTCACGGCCTTGTATCTGGACAAAGTGACAGGCATTACGTGCACATCCCATCTCTCCCATCAGACCATAGTTCTGCCAAGGAGCTACATCCTGTTACTTTGCAAACTTCAAGAGGTCTACTGGATATGTAGAAAAGAATGTATCTAATACCTTCATTAGCTTTATAGGCTAAAGATGAACCAGTCACGGTGCCATCACGTGGCTATCTTATTTTTTCTGTGTATTCCTTTCCTACGCTTCTTCCCCAACTCATGTGTTACTCCACAGGGATATGATCTGAGAATTGCATCACTGGGAGATTTCATCATTGGGCAAATATCACAGAGTGTGGTGACACACACCGAGATAGCACAGTCTACACCACCCTGGACTCTGGTAGAGTTCACTGGGGCCACTGTCACCCTGGGATCCCACCATTGACTGACATTGTGAAGTGATGTGTGACTGTATGCACATTATTTTCTTTTATTTTTGATCAATAGTTTAATAATGTCTATATTACAAATATAATGTCTATATTCCAAAATAATATATTGTTTAGTGTTGCTTGATTTGAGCTTTACAAAAACAGAAGCTACTATATAATTTTAAAAATGCTTTTTTTCGACAAAACGTGCAAGCTGACCATAGATCTGAGGTGTCCAGTAAGGGAAAAGGAGTGAGAGGGGTCAAAACAGGGGAGAGAAGAGCACAAGCAACTGTCGTGATGGTCAAGGGTGCTGTGGTGGTGGGAGAATTATGGGCATGACACCTGAGGGAAGAAATCAAATATTGTACAAAAATGAACAATGATGTAAGAAAACGAGAAAATTAAAAAAGTAAAATTGCTTTGTTCATTTAATTATTCAGAATGCTATTGTACCTAATTGTAGTCAATTCATCTTTTCTTCTGTATAACATTCCACTGTGTAAATACACTAAAATGTACATGTTTCATACCAGCAGAGACTGGGCTTGTTTTCAGTTTTGTATGAGAAACAATGATGTTTGTGTGTTCTTGTCCTTGGGTCTGGAGCACAGCTGAGCATTTCTCAGGAGTAGGCATCCAGGGGTAAGATGGCTGAAGCCCTATCTTATATGACTGCTCAATTTTACAACAGAGCACCAAAGTGTTTTCCAAAGCCATTGTATCAACTAACGCTCCCACCAGCATTATGTGATGCTTTCAGTATTTTACTTAACACAGTGATTATTATGGGGTCTTATTATTATTATTATGGGGTCACAATTCTTTGAGACTAATGAGATTGATCACCCTTTCACTTATTCACTAGTCGAAAATCCCTGACCAAGTAAGGATTTAAAGATAATATACAATAAACATAATTAAAAACAAATGACCCATGGTGTTAAAAAATGATGAGTTATGGGAAGATAGTAAAGTATTGTAAGAATTAGTGTGAGTGTTAGAGAGGGAGGGAAATTTTACTGAGATCCTGTACAGACTAGGCCAGATGAGGCTCACTGAGCAGACACTTAAGGAAGGTGAGGGATTAGCCATGTACGTATGTGGGGTTAGTGAACTGGTCAGGCTTTTATGCTGTTAGCCACTGTGACTATCGCCTGCGGTCTTGAATGCAGAAGCCACACTGGGAGCTTGGGCTCGGGGCACGTATGCCTGATGGTGGACATCTGGAGTATGGTGTGGGCATGTGTAAGTGTGAACACCTGAGCCTGGTGGCTGAGGCTAAAAGGTGGCGCCACCTAGAGACAGAGAACTGCTGCCGTGGAGAACAGCGACGAGAGGCCTAGTGACTTACAGAGAGGCAGAGCTACAAGACGATGCCAGAAAGTGCCCAAGGAGAAAAGTGTACCTGGGGCCTGGGAGGGTCCTGGCCTCGCTGCCTTGACAGCCTGCAGGTTTACCCCATACCAGTTGGTGTAGAAAGATCATTAAAGCCTGAAAAAGTCATGTAGGGCTCTGGGACTTGCCTATATCCATCTGCCCAAATCGATAGAGAACCTGCCCTGTGCTTTCTGGCACTACAACAATCAGGAGAAAAGCTATTCTGGGCAAAGGAAACAGCCAGCCAGAGTCTGTATGGTGAAGACTGCAAGATGTAGTCTGGCAATGGCAAGGCTGGAGTGAGGGGGTACAAGGAGGAGAGAAATGACATGGGGAAGTAATCAACAGCACACATAAAGCCTTGGATATCATTGTAAGACTAGCTTTTGTGGGGTCTCCCCTGGTGGCGCAGTGGTTGAGCGCTGGGCTGCGAAGCTGCCCGCAGCCTCAGCAGCGCCGGTTCGATCCCTGGCCACCGGCAAGTGTCCCACATGGCGAGCAGACCTCTCCTGCCACCCGCTGCTCCCCTCAGTAGTGTACTTCGTCACTCTGCCTGTTCTGCTCTCCGTTCTGACTCTGGTGAATTCTCTCACCCTCCCATGCTTCTGACTGTACCCAGTGCTTGTATAAATAAATAAATCTTTTAAAAATAAATAAATAATTCTTTAAAAAAAAAAAAAAAAAAAAAAAAGACTAGCTTTTGCTCTGAGTGACAGCAGAGACCCCTTATGGATGGTTGCCTTAAGTCAGTGAAGAAACAACTGTGGCTGTCTCTGGTGTCAGCAGCAGAGTTGGTAAGGGGCAGGTACATTTGTGCTGCATTTTCAAGAAAAAGCCAGTAGCACTGGATGTGGAATAAGGAGAGAAACAAGGGGCTGAAAGAGTTTCAAGGAGGAGAATGCAATCAGCTGTGTCATCAAATGTTGCTCATTGGTGATGTTGAAATTTGAGACACAAGAGATATTAGTGTGTTTAAAAGATGAAAATTACATAGTAAAGAGGTGAAAGTTGATGGAGTAAAGTGATGTGGTTTTTTTCAAAATGTTTCTGAGGTGGGTAATAATGATAGATACTTGGACTGTCTATGTTATACCACCCTTGCATTCTAGGATAAAGTCAATGTGGTGTCATGTTATCTTTAAAATCTATATTGCCAGATTCAGTCTGCACACTTAAAAAAGATCTTTGTGGGGCCTCCCCGGTGGCGCAGCGGTTGAGCGCTGGGCTGCGAAGCTGCCCATAGCCTCTGCAGCACCGGCCCGGCCGCCAGCGAGGGTCCCGTATGGCACGCAGACCTCTCCTGCTGCGCCCGCTGCTCCCCTCAGCAGTGTCCTCCGTCTGTCTGCCTGCTCTGCTCCCTGCTCTGATTCTGGTGAATTCTCTCACCCTCCCATGCTTCTGACTGTACCCAGTGCTTGTATAAATAAATAAATCTTTAAAAAAAAAAAAACTTTGCATCCATGAAGTGGCTTATGATTTTCCTTTCTCTTTCTATTCTTGTCTGATTTTAGGATATAATATGATATGGAGAACACTTCTTTTTCTGATCTCTGGAGGAGTATATGTAAGATCAGAATGTTCTAGAAAGTTTGATATCACTCCTGTAAAACTACATGGTGGTATTTTCATTGTGGAAAGATTTTTCAAGTGCTCTACATTGCACTATAATTCTGGGTTGACAGCTACCTTCTTTTAGCATTTTGAAGATATTAGGCTCCACTCTTCGGACTGCCATTGTTGGCTGTTTAAAAAGTTTATTCTCCATACTGCAGGGGAGGAAGCGGGAGAGGGATCAGAGGGTGGGAGGGAGGAGCACAGGGGACTGAGGTGATGGTGCACAGGTGCACTGGTGAAGGAAATTCTATGGGGACTATACCTGAGGGGGTGGGGGAAAGCAAATATTGTTAAAAATGAACAATGATGTAAAAAATTAAAAAATAATAAAAAGTATATTCTCATTCTAATTTTAAATTTTGTCAGTCTCTTCTTTGTCTGGTCTTTTAAGATCTTTGGTGTGCTACATTTTTCTTACAATGTGTGTAAGTGTGGATTTCTTTGTTACTGTTTTACTTCATATTTGTTGTGTCTTCCGCTCTGTGAACTGATGTCTTTCATTAATTAGGGAAAATTTTTAGCCATTATCTCTTCAAATATTGCCTTCTTCCATTATGCATTTTCTTTATGACTTTTTGAAAGTTAGTCTTTCTCATTCTGCTTAACCCCTTTTTCATGTTTTCATTTTCTTATCCTTTGATGTGTTAGTGCTAATTTTTGGAGTCCTATGTTCCATTTCATTAATTCTCTGTTCATTTTAACCTAAACTTTTATTTAGTACATATGTGAATTTTTTTCATTTCTACAACTACATATTTTTATTTCTAAAGTTCTATTTAATTACTGGGTTATCAGAAAAGTCATGAAGTATTTTTTATATTTTCTATGCAAAAATGAATCATGACTTTTCCGACAACCTAATATTTTTCAAAATTACTTTGCAAATTATGAGATTTTAGAATTTATTCATTCAGTATAAGAAAAAGTTGTCTGGGGCCTCCCTGGTGGCACAGCGGTTGAGCGCTGGGTTGCGAAGCTGCCCGCAGCCTCTGCAGCACCGGTTCAATCCCCAGCTGCTCCCCGGCCACTGGAGGAGGGTCCCACATGTCGCGCAGACCCCTCCTGCCGCCTGCTGCTTCCCTCAGCAGTGTGCTTCGGTCCTTCTGCCTGCTCTGCTCCCTGCTCTGGCTCTGGTGAATTCTCTCACCCTCCCGCGCTTCTGACTGTACCCACTGCTTGTATAAATAAATAAAAATAAATCTTAAAAAGTCACCTAAAAATTTAAAAAAAAAAAAAGAAAAAGAAAAAGTTGTCTGGATCAACTGCAAATTTAGAGCTGCCTAGCCATTTCTCAGAACCGGACAGTTTTAGGGATATTATAAAATGTGGTAAAATTATAATAATACAAATAAAAATAGTACAGCCATTAAAGTTTCTCAAGGGCAGAGGTCACATCTTATTCATCTTGAATAAGACCCTTCACAGTGTAACATGTAGCCCAGTGCTCCCTCCATGTCCCCGCAAAAAGACACTCAATTAAAACTGAATAATTGAAAGGAATTGAATCCCTCTAGCACACAATTGCTTTTAACTTTCAAAAGAAGCAGATAAACGAATTTCATTTAACTGATGAGAATAGTATAAATACTGATATGGGTCAGATCTAATTAATGTGTGTCCTAGAATAGAGATAAAGAAGAAAGTATTGTACAATTTAAGTCAGAGTTGGCAACACAATGTTAATAAAAGGCCTGCAAATATACCACCTTATATTTCAAAATAGACTACTCCTACCTCCATGACAATGATAAAAGCCAACTTGGCTGCAATCACGTGCCAGTAGTAGATGTTGTGTTTATACGCTTGTGGGTGTCCTGGGGGATACCGGAAATCACGATACCTGGAGACAAAGTGGAGGAATATCAGGAGGCAATTCTGACAAACACTATAAGCAAGTGCACACAAAAATCAGACTTAATGCAATAGTTTTTAAAATTGGACATTATGCAATTTTTCTGCTTTTTGATTTGGTAACAAAGCCTTGCAACAACTACTCCACTAATATCTTAACCCACTATAGGAAGATCCTATCTTTGTAAAAAAAAAAAAAGAACAAAAGTATCTTACATTTTTCCCCCTAGACTTCATCCCTACTTTCGCAAAAGAATATAAATAAAACAACTGAGTGTTTGTGAACTTACAGGACGCTATCTTTGGGGTGGGTTCAGCTATAGATTTTTCTACCTACACAAAGCACTACCTGCTTATTAACAATTTCTGACCTAAATTCCTTGTCAGACATCATGGATTGCTGCTGCTGATGTATCTCCCTCAGGTAGTACAGCACTTTTCTGCCATAACCTATTATACCTAGAAGAGGTAAATCACTCTTTGAATGTGCTAACTCTTACTTTAGGTAATTCCAATGTGAGAATCTAAAGACGTTCCTATGTGTAACTTTGAAAGTTTATTTTGGCCTTATTTCTGGTTTCTTGATTGCGTTGTCTAGAATTTGCATCAGGGAAGGCTTTGAGGAATCAAACTAAGTAAATTTTCATAGCTCCTTTAGGTTTAAGGAAAAGAAAACCCTCTATCACAACAAGCTTTATCGACTGGTAATTTTGTCAATGTATGGGTTCTCAGATAATCTTACCAGTCAGTCAAGTGAATGCAGAAAACTTTGGAATAACTTTAGCAATCCTGCTAGGCTAGACTGAGGTATCTGTATCCTTTGTTAGGTGAGAGTGCTAGTCTGTCATTTAATATCTTTAGGTTGTGCTGGAAAAAACACGTTAGTTATTACAGCTGAATTATCCTGCCTTTTGGAACTCTTAAAAGTTTTTTCATTGTTAAGCTATATGACTTTGCTCCTGGATCAGTCTCCCTGTAATAATCATTTGAAATGCTCCCCTTTACAGCTTGCATCATTGGTTTGAAAGTTCTAACCCTAGCCTACAGTAATTGCTACATCTCATCGTTTTTAAAGTTTGATTGAAAAGCTAGGGGAAAATGTCAGTTTTATTTTAGGGTACTAAACATTGATGGCACAATCATCTCTTTTTAAAGATGCATAAGTTTTTAAACATGGAAGCCAAACTTGCCTGCATGTGGCATAGTCACCGAGTCCAGAATAGGGATTTCCGTCACTCTTGTTTTTGAAATCTGCGATGTTGAAGTAGGATAGGGTGTTGTTGATGTAACCCTCCATGGTGTAGTGGCTGTGATTTCCATAGGGGGGGACAGAGAAGGACCAGTAATACACCAGGCGTGGGATCATGTCTGATGTGAAAGCAATAATCATGGCCTGCGTGGGAGGAAATCAATAAAAGGTATCAATCTACAGCCTGTAGAGCTGTAAATTTTTTACATCTGTAAATTTTTTACATTAGAGCTGTAATGTTTTACATCCCCCATAGGTGCAGGGGATGAGAGGATTCACCAGAAACAGAGTAGGGAACAGAATAGGCGGATTGGCTGAAATCTACTGCTGAGGGGAGTAGTGGGCGAGACAGGAGAGGTCTGCTGCACCATGTGGGTCAGCTCCCTGGCCTGGGATTGAACTCCCTGGCTGCAGGATGATAGGATGAGACTTAACCTCTAGGCCACCAGGGAGACTCTTGAGTAGCTGCTTTAAAGTGGATTAGTTACTTTCCTTTTGGTCTTTAATTCTAAGGAAATGTCCAGAAGTCTACATGCAGCTCAAAAGCAAGAGCTTGATAATTACCTATTTGTATTACATAAATTTTCTCTGAATTTTTATAATTTGGGTTTTAAATTTTCCAATGCATAACACTGGTTTGAAGGAAGACAAAAGTAAAGAATATGCTTTTTCAAAGAATGTGTTTCTTAAGAAGGTACAAATAATTGTACATGAGGGTACTGTTGCTAACTAAGTAGCTGCCTATATGTATTACATGGAAATCAGCTATCTTCAAAAATTAGGATAAGAAAAAGTTCAGCCTTAGAGCTCTACTTGATACAATTTCAATCTTTCTTTTGTGATTCAGATTCAGAAGCTCCTAATGTATGTGAAATAACTAAGGTTAATATTATGAAAATAATTCCTTTTTAAATAATTGATATAAAACTGATTTTCTATCACTTGCCTCTGAAAAACGGATTATAAACTGCATAAAATATATTTTCCTTGATCTGAAGTAAGTACTGGCCCTCAAAGTCATACTTTTTTCCCTATAGTATCTTGCAAGTTTAGAAAAGATGACCTAAGTCTGATTTATTTCAAATTTTCAGTACATATTTATGTATATCACTTCATTAGGAAGTGAGGATTTTTTCATTAATTTTACTAAAATGTTGGCAGCAAAAAAACTACACCAGGGTCATTGTCTTCACACTGTCCAACAATGATGTCTATTTTGTTAGAGGGCTCAGAATTTAAGCCTCTCAACTTTCAAAAGATTAAGCAGATAAAGTTATGAACAGTAAAATGATCAAATAACAAAGTTTAGTACTTTCCCAAGTTAAAGGAATAAATAGAAGTCAATCTTAAACCTGAGAGACATTTATTAGGATATAAAGTCATTATGAACCACAAAAATATTCTCAAAAATTTTTTCATTTGGGCTTGAAATTCTCCAATGCATTAAATCGGCTTGAAGGAAGAAGAAAGTCAAGAATGTGCTTTAAACCAAATTCTAATATAATAGGTAAGATATGGAAACAACCTAAATGCCCCAAAACTGATGAATGGCTCAAGAAGATGTGGTCTATATACACAATGGAATACTACTCAGCAACTGAAAAACATAAATTCATGCCATTTGCAACAACATAGTTGGAGCTAGAAGAGATGATGCACAGTGAAATAAGTCAGAAGGAAAAAGAAAAATACCAGATCCTTTCACTTATAGGAGGAACACAGGGGAACCAAATAAGGGGTCAGGGGGAAAATAATAGCAATAAATAATAAAAAAAATAGCAGGCAACTATAAATCAGAGTCATTCTGCATGAGGGGGAGAGAGGGGTCAAAACAGGGGAAGGGAGAGGACAGGGAACCATGGTGATGGTGCACGGGTGACTTAGTGGTGGGAATTCTATGGGGATTACACCTGAGAGGAGAAAGAAAACATTGTACAAAAATGAACAATGATGTAAAATATATATAAATAAATTATATTATTAAAAAAACACTAAATGAGTATGAAAAAAAAGTATGTAATCAACAACGCTAAATGACTCATTTATTGAAGCAGAAGAGCAGACATGTTTTTGGCACAACATGATTTTTAATAGTGTTTATCTGAACATATGGTTTAGACACAGAGAGAACACAAGCCAAGAACTCAGGCAAAGCAAGAAAAACAACCCAGGGCTTTTGATTGCAAAACTTCCCCCACTAGAAGGGGTTTTGTCTTTCCTCTGCAGTGAAATCTCTCTCTCAACCTCTCTCTCTCTCTCTCTCTCTATCTGCCTGTCTGCTGGTGGTGATGGTGGTAGTAGAGTATGGTAAGAATATTTTATTTTTTCTGGATTTCAAAAGATTAAAATTTCCCCTTATCATGTAACTTAACGATAACCTTTTATAGAATCACCTGCAGATGGGCTTTAGGATGCTACAAATATTCCAACAAGGAAGATAATTCTATTGTCTTTTGACAAGATACTTTTTCCTCTGGAACTGAGCGGCTTTGAGACACTCTGCAAGAGCACAAATAAATGCAGTGTGCTTTATTTTCCATGCTGTTCTGAACATGATTTTCCATTTATATAAAAATAAATTAAAATTGGTCTTCAATGCCAGATGCTCTGGCATGCTATAACAATGTCAATTCAGCTTATTGATTGACCCAACAGCTCTAAGATGATTTTATACCCAAACTCCTGCTTGATGTCCGTTCTCATCCCTGGTGGCTATTCTCTACTATTAAAAGTTCTTCTGTTATGGAAAGTCAGCCTTTTATATGCACATTATAGAGTGGAGACCTGTATTAGGTGGGTAGGGAGAAATTACACATGCTTAATTCTGAAATACATACATATAAATACATGCAGGACCTGCATCTTGGAACATGTAACAACATGGAAAGAAAGACTGCCCATAGGTTAATCGATGTCACAAATCTAGTAATTGGTTTTCCTAGAATATAATAACATGATGCTTAAGTTATGGGAAAAAGCAACTACCGGATAAGAATCAACAGCACTATGCGCTGGCATGTGTGTGCCTGTGTGTTTATACACAGGCACACACCCTTGGAGATGCAGCCGACACACCATCTGGGCTCATGGAGTGTGGTCTGCTGAGGGCACTTGGGAAAAGCTGCCGATATCATCAAACTGGAGAACTGGAGGAAAGGGAGTGTGAGTCGACTGAAGTTTCCAGGTAGTGCAAAGTCAAACAAAAGCCCTTTTAGTTTCAAATCTTGTTCCTGAAGATCTTCCTACAGCACACAGCCCATGATCCTGTCTGGCTTAGAGCCGTCCAGCCCAGTGAACATGACAGGTTTTCTTCCATGACTTTGGGCTTTGAAAGGCCCCACTGTCGTATTCCTGAGCATAAGTCTTCATTTTGCAACAAGTGGATTTGAAGGTGTGGGCTACTTGGGTGAATGGAAACTGGCATAACCTAGTAGCTGTTTCAGTGTGTGACTTGCAACTTCCTTCCAAAAGCAGAGACTCTAGCACAAGGCTCAGGAAAATGGAGGATTCTTGGAAAATGGAGGATTCTTGGGGGTACACAACTGGGCTCCAAAAAACTTGTTTTACTGTATAAAACTGTAACCATGATCTTGAAATTCTTGTGCCTCTAGATTAGACACCCATCAAAGTCTATAAAGCCAATTAATGATGATGAGAAATAGGAATGACAGTGACACATAGTGAAATTATTGAGCCTTTAGTTTAGATGCCATCAAAGTAGAGCCAGTTAATGATGAGAAATAAGGAGGGTAAAACAGCAACCGCTACCATTCCATGGGGCCAGGATCTGTGCAGTCCATGGAGGAATTCCTCCTCCACCCTTGGTGGTATGTGATATTCTTATAATATGTGGTAGGGAATTTCTGACTTACAATTGATAAAATGAAACTTGGAAGTGTCAAAGTCTAGTCCGAGATCACACAGCTTGGGAGCTGCCCTGCTCAGCCACCCTCACCCAGTGGCTGCTCCCCAGGGACAGCCCAACTCTCCTGTGGGGGATAGAAGGCTGAGGACTCAGGACCCAGTTAAAACTCAGAAATTCTTTTGCTGGGGGACATGAAGTGGGAGTAAAATTAGAGGACAAGGTGGCCCTGGTTTTATGGGTATTTCTAGGGAAGGAGTCTACTGAGGAGATGGTATAGAGATTTTACTCTACTTGGGAGCACCCTGATGGCATGCCCCCCCAAAAAAAAAATTTAGGGTGTGGGCAGGAGAGACTATTTCATAATTGATATAGGTTATAAGCAAAACAGGATCTATTCCCTCATAGCTGGGATATCCACAAGCGTGCTTACCCAATGACCAGGCTGGGGTTAACAGAGACAGGGGTGAGGGATCTAGGGGTGTGGGGGTTGGTGGGAGGAGGAGAGAATAAGGGGTCATCCTAAACCAGGCACCCTTCAAGAAGCTGCACCAAGAGTGAAAGAATGCACAAAGTGTTTATGCTTCGTCAAAGAGTTAATGCTTTAAGTCGATAGTTTGGAATATGTAGCTAAATATGTTAGAATTATAGCTTTTATGTTAAGGACCTCATACTCTAAACAGACAGGTTTCTATCCATGTTATAAAAGCACTATTGGATAATTCTTCTTATAGGCACGTGAAGAGTAAAGAATTAGTACTTAACGATGATCATGTTTGTATTGAATAAAAACTTGAGCAAATGAGCAACACTAGTATAATGGTCAACTGTCTTAGCAACTGCCAATGTAAGAGGTCTTGACATTGTAAGTCAAGAATAATAATTACTAACAATTAAACTACATTTAAAAAAGAATAACAAGTATAGTTTAAACTGTTATTTATATAGATGATAGTACTGGCATCGTTGTTAAAAAAAATACCAACCATTTGATTCCTTATGTAGCAATTCTCATGCATTTCTGGACTTTTCCAGGTCTTTCCCTGTGAAGCTGGGCTTACTCACATTGGTCACCACGGCCATTATCGCAATCCCTTGCATGATGGGCTGCCACGCTCCGATGTCCCGGGCTTTTTCTGACACCATCCGTCTATACTGGGTGGTCATTTTCCAAGCGTCCACTCTTATTTCCAATATATTGTTCACCAGAGCCAACAGAGGGGCCAGTGGAAAAGAGGCCACAAATAAGGTGACGAACCCAAACTGAATAACTGTCAATGGAATGGACACACATCATGGGGTGGTGGATGGATGGAAGGACAAGGTCTTTACTCTTGTACAGCAAGAGAAAGGCAGACAATGAGCCAAATCCCACAGAGCAAAGGCACCGTGTGGATACCATTTAACACATAACATTGGAAGAAGCCAAACCAAACACGACTATGACATCTCTACCAAGAGGATTAATTATAATGTGTTTTGCATGTATACACTTGGTAGGAATAATGTATTAATAATAAATACATAAAAAATTTTAATTCTACCAAGGTTATTTGCTGGTAACACGCTTGGGATATGCTATGCATAGTATTCATTTGCTGTGTCGAAATAATAGACTGTTGGAAGATGATTCATAACTCAGGGCTGAAAAAAAAAGAAAAGGAGTACTGTGGAAGTATCTAACAACCTAAGAATAAATAAGAAATGTCCTTTGGGGAAACTCTTTATAGAATGCTGGAGGAAATATGTTAAAGCAAATAAGGAAGCACCTCTGAGCCTATGAATTTGAGTTCAGAAAATTCCAGAGAATTTATGATACGCCACACACCATGGAAATGAATGTGATTAAGGTTCTTAATAGTCACAATACAATCTTTCTTTAGGAATTTTTATCTTGAAACTGTGGTAGTCTGTGTGGTCACAGGAAGTCAAGATTCAAGACTTAGAAGCTCTTTCTCCTCTTCTGTAGTTAATGTGGGGCAGCACAGATTCAGGGGAAACCATAACATGGGGAGATAGAAGTTAGAAAGGATAGGACCAGAGAGCCAATGAGATCTTTCCATGTCAGAGCCTTCCCTCCTACTTGGCAGACCTTGAAAGCAAACTGGTAACTAAGAGTGCAGATGAGAAGGAAATTCACAGCCCCTCTGAGATACTGCTGGGAGGCAAGACTGTGGAAGGGGTAGTGGGTAGGAGGAACTGGCACTTGCTTGTGTTCTAAAAGGCCAGGGCATGTTATAGAAGAGCAGACAGAGCTAGAAAGATCTGGGAGGTGCATAGGCCAGGCAGGAGGCAAGTCAGACAGGCCAGGACCAGGACCAGTGGTGACAGCAGCTCAGCACTGAGCCATGCCCAACACCTGTGTCTGTGACTTAGTTACCCCATGTGACTCACCTGCCTACAGGGCTGGCAAGTGAGGAAATGCTGGAATGTGCGGCCAACTCTGGTACCCTAGCAAGTGCATGTAACCAGTGAGGGCATGTCCTCCTGAAAGGCAGAGCCCACAGTGGCCTCACTGGAAGATGAGCTCAGAGCCGCCAGATCTCATTGTTCAAAAGCAGCCAGAAATCAGGACTGTGTTAGCAACAGACTCAGTTAAAAACAAAAGTGTAAAGATACTATTTATAATGACAACAAAAGCACAGACTATTTAGGAATAAATTACTGAGAAATGTCAGTTTACTGTAATAATGGACTTAAAAAATAAGGAAAACCAAAAAATGATGAATGAATGAATGGTAGGATGGACCATATTCTTAAATTGGGAAGACTCAAGTTTGGGGACATTATCCGATTTTTTCCCCAAAAATTTAATTTAGAATTTTAAAGTAGATGTAGGTAATAATCTCAAATGGATTTAAGGAAAATAATGTTATAAGGTGATGCTAAAATTCTTCAGGAAATATAAATATACAAGTAAAGTAACAAGGAAGGATGTTTGAACTGACAGTAACAGACATTCTGAGTAAGGACAAAATGAGAGCAGGTCTCTGAGATATTAACTAGAGTAATAAAAACAGAGTACTAGAGTAATTAAAACAGTTCAGAACTAGTACATTCATATGGTATGAATTAAACAGAACAGATTCAAAACTTGATGCTAATATTGATGGGATTCGCTTATGGAAAGCAGTGTGGAAGTTCCTCAAAAGTCTAAAATTGGATCTGCCATTTGATTCAGCAATTCCACATCTAGGTATCTAACCCCAAATACAAAAACACTAATTTGAAAAGAAAACTGCACTCTCACATTTATAGCTGCACTATTTACAACAACCAAGATGTGGAGACAAACTAAGTGCTCCAAATTAATGAGTAGGTCAGAAAGATGTAGTATATATACATAATGGAATACTACTCAGCCATCAAAAAGATAAACACATGCCATTTGCAGCAACATGGATGGAGCTGGAATGGCTTATATACTAAGTGAAGTGAGCCAAAAGGAGAAAGATAAATACTGGATGATCTCACTTATATGTGAAACCAAACAAAGGGTCAGATGAAGATAACCTGTAAAACCAACCCTTGGAAGTTGAGCATAGATCTGAGACATTCAGGAGGAAGGAGGGAGAGGAGCGAGAATGGGGGAGGGGAGTAGGGAAAACACAATGGACCATGAAGGAGGATTATGGTTGCTTTGTGGCCATCACCAAAATCACACCTGAGGGGAGAAATACTATACTATTAAAATATTAAACAAAACTGGAAACAATAAAAAAAAAGTGATGCCTGAAACCAGTGAATTAAATATTGGAGCTATTAGTGAAATCATTGGAAAAACTGGTACTGTGTCCTCACTTTTGACACCATAATAAATTCCAGATAGATAAAAAATTTTAATTTAAAAATACAACTCCAGAAAAAACATAGTATAATTTATCCTGATAGTCATATGAGAACATTTAAAACCAAGAACAGAAAAAATATGAAATATATCCATTCAGTAAGACAAAAAAAAAATTGTAAAAAAAAAAAAAAAAAAACCAACCCGGACCTGAAACTTTTCATGGGCCTGTACTGCTCTCTAAAACTTTCTGTGCCAAGCTTCCTGCAGGAAGTTCTTCTATGTTCTCACTGTCCACCACTGTCTCTCTTCAAAGCCCTACATCCCTCACCACTGTCTGGCTAACTGCTGAGGGGCATGGTTCAAAGCCACCGCACATTTTCAGTTCTTATTCAATTACTTTTATTATCAACAAGCATTCATCTCCCTGTGGAATGTGTTTCCCCTTGATTATTATTTTACTTAAATTTTAAAAGAGCAAGGGTGCATGTGCGTGTAACCATATGCATAGAATAAGATATAAAATACAATACATATTTTAAAAAAATTTAACAAACTACAGCACTTATCCCACCCTTCCCTATAGAACCAGCAATTAAATGTGTGCATTACTGCCTGTTCCCTCCTTTTCATTATGCTCTTTTTTGTCAGTGTTCCAATACCTTTAAGCCTTCAAAATCTTCTCTGTGTTGACACAACTCTCTGATGGATTTCTCCCACCTGCCCTGCTCTTCCTTCTCTTTGTGGCTTTCTATCCCCCCATTTACTCTTTAAATATCGCTGGGAATAGCCACATCATCATTTTCCCCTGGCAAGCCTGAATCACCCCCTGACCTTGCCTGGAGTGCTCTGAGCTCAACAGGTGGATCCAGCTTTCTAATGGACCCCTCTGAGAGATCCCACAAACAGCTACTCAAGATAACTGAGCCTAATCCATTTCCTCAAAACCAGTTCCTCTCCTGCTGTTCCAACCTGCACATTCAGACTCCAGAAGATATCTTAATTCTATTCCCCACATGCTATATGATCTCACCTTTGACAACGATTAAATTTCTCTCCCTATCTCAATTCCTCAGATCACAGCCTCTATTTCAGTGCTTACAATTATTTAGGTGACCTGGGGTAACCTACTGAAATAGCTTCTTTCTACCAAAATAGGCCCAACCAAACAGAATATTTTCATCCCCTTTTGCTGCCAGGGTAATCTGATCATCTCCAAAGTATGCATTTCCTTAAGGATCAGTTCGAGTCCCTTGGCTAAGCCCACAAAATCCATCAAAACATAGCCCTTGCTTTCCTGCTATCCCTTCACCTTTGGACCCTTTGTTGTAGCCACACTTTGCTTTTTTCCCATTCTTTGAACTGCCCAGGCTGTTTCACGCCCTTGACCTTTCAAATGTGTCTACCTTTTCTCGTGAAATGTCTATTTCCTCCACCCCAGTTTGGCTCCTCCTTGCTAGAGACACAATTTAAAAGGTAGATGTTGGAATTGATGAAGATTAGGAAGCAGGGGAAGTGTGTAGAGTTTAGACCATTGCCAAAGGCATTCTATGTTTATTTTAGAGGAGCAAAAATAACTCAAAGGCACTTGGAAATTCTATCTCCCACAAACTAAAAGCAGCAAACATAGATTTCACTCTTGAGTACAGAATAACAGACTGCCTATTGTCAGAAACTGATTACTTTTTCTGATTTATTGAGTATTATTGGGATAATAAAACAATTGAATAAAGAAAAGAAATTCTGTCGAAACTGTTGTTATTCTAGCCTTTCTTATAGATTTAATAGTCACATCAACTCTCCAGCATATGACCACTAACTCTTCCTCTCCATGCCACTTGTTTGTCAAATCAACTACAGAAAAATAACTCTTTCCACCCAACTTTTCTGTGCAAAAGTAAAAATTATGTTCTCCCTCAAGATGTTGTTATTGTTAATTCCTCCCATAAGAGAATTACAATTATGATTCAATTTGGAATAACAGGCAGCTGTCTTAAGGTCCTTTTGAGAATAAACATGATAAATAAAAGGAACCTTTCACTCCACAAAGGAAGCAGATGTGTTTCCATGTATATAATGCACATTTTTTAAAAGCAACTGTTTTGTAATATAAAATAGGATTTAATGGAAACCTTCCTCTATCTGCAAACTGGTAAACAAGAATGACAAGGGGGTGTCTCTGCTAACATACACCCCATTCGCAAGGACCCACCACAGTCAGCCTCCCTTTCCTGCTTCCTAAGCATGAGACCAGCATACTTCACTGTACTAGTTCAGCAAAAGGGCACAGAGACAAAACATATAAATTGTTGGTTTTCTATTAGGTGTAAGCATGTCATACGTAAGAGAAAAGATGCTCTTTCCTATGGAGATCTATTTTGAGGTGCATCCATTGAAAGACAACTGGGGACTCAAAATCAAGTGCAACTGAAACAGAGCCCAAGGAAATGCTACACAGACGGGCAAAGACATTCAGGATGGAGGAGATAAATGTGGATTCTCAATGCCAGACCAGCAAAAATGCTTCTAAATTCTAACTAGTGATTAGAAATGAGGTCACTCAAGGAAACAGGCAGAAATCACTGGTCAGGAGAAAAAGATATGCAGAAACAGGAACAGGGTGTGAAAAGGGCGGGGGGACCCTGTGATCATTTGTGTATCCCAGACTGAATCACCTCTAATAATAGTTCTGAGCTGAGGCTCAGACAACATGGTTAGGATGTTCTGATAATGAATGGTGAAGATGTACCTAGATGAGTATCCCTTTTCATTGCTTGGGGATAAATCTGTGGCATCGGACAACATAAATATTGACAAAGAGACACAATCACCTTATTTGCAAGCCTGATCCTATAATTTCATCTATTGGAGAAAAAGAAACTACATTTCAACCTGCTAGATCATTATTTGGCTCAATAATCTCTGCTTTTGGGATCCAAAACGTGCTCCATTATAATTTACATGACCCAAAATGTCACCCACAACTTACTCATTTCAAGATATTCATAAAATAATCCCAGCTTGCCCATGGGCTGCAGATGGTAGTCCTGTTCCCACCGTGGGGTGATCTTTTCTGAGCCCGAAACTGAGTTGCATCGTCCAATTAGATTTTTGATCCAGCTGCCGAAAAGATCAAAGTGCAAATTAGACCATTATCCCCCACGTCATAAAGCATGAGTTAATGTCTCAAGTTGAACACACAACCCATGAAGAAATTAATTCCTTGTTTCCATGCTAAATTCCTTATTATTCCGGTAGGAAATACTGGGCTGTAATCCATACTACACTGTCCTTGGTCTTTTGGGTTTTCTATTGGGTTATGATTCTGGAGCAGGGATCTTCATCTTGAGTACACATGGAAATCATCTACAGAATTACAAACAATTCCAGATGCCAGGTACTTTCTCCCCTGGCCAAGTTGAGATGTTTCCTTCCTTCAGCAGTGGTTACAAAATAATATCCTTAGGAATTTAGCATATTGGCATAACAGTGTTATAAAAAGTCGCTCTTCACTAAGTCCTTACTGTATGTATGAATTACTTTGCATGGCCTTTTCTTGTATCTTCTTTATATTTAACTCACATACCACAGATAATCATTATTTCTGTTTAAGACATCCTACAGCATTCCCACTTGCTAATTTTGAATAAAAGCACCCTCTACTATTAAATCTGTTTTATTCCTGGGTCTACTATTTTTTAATTTAAAGCACAAGAGCAGGTAGTGAGGGAACCCTGTGTTAGGGTTCTCTTATTACATGCCTCTGGTTCTTCCCTGACAAATGGCTGGGCTGTTGGAAGAGTCATGATGCATTTTTGCTTGAAAAACAGAAATAAATACGTCATGCCTTTTCCAACTACCCAATATATCCCAAGAAGGGATATTTTCTCTTATATCAGCTCACTTTTCTTACCTAAGAAGTTCAAACCCATTATAGAAAACAAAAGAAGAAAACCACTGCCATCCATTACCTAAACACCAAAGGACAATGTTATTGGTATCTATTTTTCGTACATTTTTATCATAAGAATTTCTCCAGATTGAGCTGCTTCATGCAGGAATTATACCAGCGCTGTGTCAAGTACAGAGTAAAATTCCCAGGAGTGCCTCAGATATCAAAATCAAAATACTAAGTGAGTGAGAAGGCCAAAGGGTGCTGGGCTTGTTCTCTGAGTCCAGTAAACAATTCTGTTAATGTGCTGATATTCTGTATTTAAAGCACGAATCACTCATTCACTCAACTGGTTTTTACTGAGCACCCACTAAATGCCCAGCACTGCTCTGGATGCCCGAGGGCGCCCAAAGGGGACAGGATCCCAGTGCCAGCTTTGCTTCTTCATTTGCTTCAGGAACCCTAGCCAAGGAGCTGACCTGGTTGGGGGCAGAGAGAGGTTAAGTGTATACAGTGAAACTAATTTTATTCCATTCTTTTTGACATATTTAAATGGTATGAAAATAGCCACTGAATTAGAAGGCTTTTCTCTCCCTTATTATGCTTTCTGTGATGGGTGTAGTTTGGGTTACCAGAATAACTACTATGTCCTTGTTATATGAGAAGTTGTATGAAAAAGTAAGAAGGCAAGAGATGCCTACCTAAAGAGGAGAAGTAGCAATTAGCTGATCCCAAGTCATTCCCTAATTTGGTTAACATTTAGCAATCCAGGTTTTCAAAAGTGAAAGAAAGCTAATTGAAAACATACTGCCTCAGTAACTTAGGCTAGAATTAGAAATATCGACATGCCAGGTTTAGGTGGCTGTAATTTGCAATACTGGGTGCAATACCTCCTGGGGTAGAGGTGGGTCCAATAACACACCTTTATCTAAAAATATTTCATGGGAACATATTTCATTACATGTGAATACCAATACCAATTTGGAAAACAGACCAGGCCCCCTAAAATTTTAAAATAAAAATGAACTCACTGACAACCAGTCATCAAAACAAGTGCTAAATAATCTACTTTCTTCAAAAAAAAAAAATGCTTTTAAATCCGAGTTAAGGCTTTCTTCTCTTTGATGTTATTTATTTTCATATAGAAACATAGTTATGTGTGCTTGACCTACTTTTACTCGTCTGGAAAAGCTGGAGATGAGTACAATGAAAGTGAGGGCCATTGACAGCATAGTAGGTAAAGAAAATCGTAATTTTACAGCCACAACCAGAATCCTTTAGAGGGGAGGACCCTGGGGTGGGGAAGAGGAAAGAGAGAGGCCTTTGCTTAGAGACAAATTCTGCTAGTTCCCATTGAAGTTGAGGAATGAGCCCTTGTGAAGAAATCTGGAAGGACACAATGAAACCCAGTGGTTTCTGCTCTCTAAAAACCGAAAAATGAGGTTAACACTCTATGAACAGAATAAAAAGAAATTTGGGAATGGCAGAGAGAGAAGAAAGGTTAGAGAAGGGAAGAGGAAGAGAGAGAAGAAAGGTGGATGTGATATGGGTGGGGGTAGAGGTAGGGCAAAATGACAGGAGGAAGGAACCTATAGAGAGGGGTGATGTTGAAAAAAAACAACCCATTTGGATGGTGGGATAAAGGACTTTTTTTTTAAAAAGATTTATTTATTTGTACAAGATCTGGGGTACAGGCCAGAGACGTGGGAAGGTGAGAGGATTCACCAGAGACAGAGTGGGCAGCAGAACAGGCAGATGGACCAAAAGCACTGCTGAGGGAAGCAGCAGGCGAGACAGGAGAGGTCTGCAGCATCATGTGGGTATCTCCCTGCCTGGCCGGGAATCAAACCCGTGCTGCAGAGGCTGTGGACAGCTTCACAGGGCTGTGCTCAACCCAGGTCTTTAAAAAAAAAAAAAAAGATTTATTTTATTTATTTATGCATACAAGAACTGGGGTGTAGGCCAGAGTGCAAGTGGGTGAGAGGATTCACCAGGACAGAGTGGGGAGCAGAACAGGAGGTTCTACTGAAATTCACTGCTGAAGGGAGCAGCAGGTGAGACAGGAGAGGTCTGTTGTGCCCTATGTGGGTCAGCTCCCTGGCTGGGGATCGAACTCAGGCTGCAGTGATAACAGTGCTGAGACTCAACCCCTAGGCCAACAGGGAGGCCCCCTCTAAGTGGAAATTTAGAAGGACGGTGGGACCTTATGCAAACATGTACTCTCATCTTTAAGGGAAAGAACAGTAATCCAAACCTTCGTGGTAACTGTTCTAGATACTGGTCTCCTACACCAGCATCTAAGATGACACTATGTTGTATGTGCCCTGGGACCACAAGAAAACTATTCTCCAAACCTGGACTGGGAGTCTTGGGATCTTAGATCTTCATTCACAGTGCTCTTAGTGGTGATGTGAACTTACAAAAGTCATTTAGCTTTTCTAAGCCACAGAATCTTCATTTGCAGAAGGGAGATAAACAAATAAAACACAACACAGTGACTTACATAGAAGACCCCTAGAAGTCACTGTTACTGAGTTTTAAAAGTGTGGTAGAAAGGGAGGAGACACTTGTGAGAAGTTGTGGATATACTTGGTTCATAGGCCTAGCAAGGACAACCTGTCCTGGGGCTACAATCAGTATACCCATCACTGATGGGATTTAAGAAGGTGTTTTAACATATTTATTTAAACCCTGAGATGGGCCTCCCTGGTGGCCTAGGGGTTAAGTCTCAGCACTATCACTGCTACAGCCTGAGTTTGAGCTCTGGCCAGGGAGCTGACCCACATGGCACAGCAGACCTCTCCTGTCTCGCCTGCTGCTCTCCTCAGCAGTGTGTTTCGGTAACTCTGCTTGTTCTGTTCCCTGCTCTGCCTCTGGGGAATCCTGTCACGCCCCCGCTTTCTGGCCTACACCCCAGTTCTTCTACACAAAACAAAACCCCCAAGTATGTTTACTCTGAATAGCTAGACTATCTTGTCTGGAGACTTAATAAGCAGAGTCCACTCCAGTTTAGAGATGGACACGCAGGCAGATTATTCCACTGGGTGGGCTTTTCCGCCTCTGTCCTCCCGACATGATACAGCTTAATACTCACGGAAGTAACACCTCTTGTATGTTATTCCAGATTGCTTTTCCTCCCATGATTATTGTCAGCTGTGTTGTTAGTTCAAAGAGACACCCCCCGGGATCACACTGCAATGTTAAAAAGAAAATGTCACTTAAATTTTTGATGGGTCTAATATGAAATAAGGTCATTTAATCTTATTTTTCTAATATTTGTTCTTTTTTGGCTAAAAAAACACAACCCAGTGACTCTACAATAAACCATTCATTGAGCAACTGAGAGAAAACAGCTTATCAAGAGAATACAATTCTAAATTCACACCTCTTCATTTCTGTATTTTCCCAGCCAATAAACAGGATCTCCCGGGTAACCGACAAATTTGCCCTTAAAGAAGGCTATGTAGAAACAGGAAGAATAGTAGTTGACAAACTGGAACATGAACATCTTCATGGTTAGGCTGTTCTCATAATCAGTCTGGGTCCTTGGGAGTTCTGCAGTTCAAACAAAGAAAAGCGAGATTTTAAAATTGTGAACAGCTTTGAGACCCTCATCAAAGGCACTGATACACGAGTTAACATGTTAAAAAAAAAACAATTCACACTGTTTCCATTTAAGCTGTTTGAATTTCTTAATATAGCTATTGTGTTAATTCCAAATTTACACATTGTTACAAGAATTTCCCCCATGAATATAATATCCCACAGGGCAAAAAAAAAAAAAAAACCACAAAAAAAAACAAACAACTGTTTTTGGTAGTTAAACTTTAGAAGCACAATGTTATCAAATGGGCATGAATTACCTTCTCTTACTTCTACTCTGACAAAAAAGCACTTTTGAACAGCTTGCTAAATGATACATCTTTTTGAATTTTACTAAGGTAGGTCTGTTGAAGGAAATAAACAAGACAACAGGAAACTTGCTAGAAGCATTTGGGGAAGACAGAACAGGTCACTCTCCTGTTCAGAATTTAAATTGGTCTGATGATTTTCAGAAGATGACCGGCTAGTGGACCATTTAGAGAAGACAGAGGCATGTGGAGCGTGTGGGAGGCTCTACACTTTGGCCACTAAGCAGCTGCCTGGGAAGCCAGCCAGAGAGAAGAAACACTTATTATAAAAGCCAGAGCTGATGAGAATGGAGCTGTATTAATATGAACAGCACGGGGAAGACTCGTAACAGTGTGATTACTTGTCCTCTCGGCAGCAGAGGAAGCATATTTGCTACTGGAACCATGACCCTATTCCACTTATTTGCAATAAAAAGACTATTTACTTTCAACAATGGGGTACATGATCTAATATAATTGAAAATATTACTCAGTCTTGATCTGTTTGCACAGAGCCTGGACATTATAATGATTATCTTTGCTCTGTCCCTTTCACCAAGGCAAAGCTGTAGACGATTCATTTCCTATAGAAACGAAAGAAAATATGTTTACAGTTGAAATGTTCTCAAAATTTTAGCACCCCGGAATTGAAAATGCCTAAAAGATACAGTCTCTGTTTTCGCTAGTTCCTAGAAATGTCTGCGACATGACTGTGGGGAGTGGGGTCGTACCAAAGTTAGTAATCAAGATGGCCACTTTTTCATAGATGGTGTTCAGAATCATGATGATGACGAAGCTGATGATGGACGCCGTGATGGTCGTGGCTGTCTGTGGAGTCAGGTACTTCTGGATTGGGTCTGTGGCATTATAGTTCTTGGGAAGTTTTGCAGAAAACACAATGAACACCGAGAGCCTGTAGACGATGATGCCAATCACTGAAGCGATAATCAGGAGGATCTGAGAACAGAATAAACAAGCAGCATGAGACTCACCAAGAGCCAAACTTTTATACTTAAAAGTTGGTCCCAGGGGTGGGGGAAGGGCCTCTCTGGTGGCCTAGGGGTTAAGTTTCAGCTCTATCATTGCTGTAGCCTGGAAGCTGACCCACATAGGGAATAGCACACCTCTCCAATCTTGCCCCCTGCTTCCCTCAGCAGTGTATTTCAGTCAATCCACCTGTTCTGCTCCCCACTCTGTCTCTAGTGAATCCTCTCACCCCCTGCAGCTCTGGTCTACACCTTAGTTCTTCTACGTAAAAATAAAAAAAAAAATAATAAAACAAAATGACCCTAGCATTGCATGTTAGAAGTTTTGGTAATGGTTAAAATGGGGTATTTACTTTACCATACAAGGATCTTAGTTTCCATCTCATATTAAAAACCTCTTTGAGGGCCTCCTTGGTGGCCTAGGGGATAAATCTCAGTGCTGTTACCACTAGGGCCTGAGTTCAATCCCCAGCCAGGAGGCTGACTCACATAGGGCACAGCAGACCTCTCCTGTCTCACCTGCTGCTGCCCTCAGCAGTATATTTCAGTAGATCTACCTTTCTGCTCCCCACTCTGTCCCTGGTCAATCCTCTTACCCCTGCACCTCTGGCCTACACCCTGGTTCTCCCTATACCCTAGTTCTTCTACACAAAAATAAAAGAAAAATAGTTGGCCTTAGGATAAAATGAACAAGGTGCATGTGTGAAGAGATGTGAATCTCACATATGAGAGGTGGAAATTGGGCAGGCTGCATCTCAGAGAAAGGAAAGGGAATGAGGGTCATCAGGATGGTACAGCCACTAAGTGAGATGTCAACAGCAGGGACAGCATGTGCCAGGGGTGACAGGACACGGGGGCTCTGCTCTTGCTGTGCAATTTCCCTGGGAAGCTAAAACTGCTGCAAGAAAGAATTTCTATTAGGAAAAGGGACTCTATCTTCAGACTGGGTAAAAATGGGGTAACTGGTAGCACGTTCAGTTAGAAGGAAAAATTTTCTATGACAGCAGAACTGATGAAAATACCCCATTTGGATGATGCTTAGCGAAATAAGTCAGAAGGAAAAAAGAAAAATACTGGATAATTTCACTTATAGGAGGGATACAGGGAAATTGAACAAGGGGTCAGGAGAAAGACAAAACTTGCAGGCAAACCATAGATCTGAGGCATCCATCAGGGGAGGCGGGGAGAGAGGGGTGAAAATAGAGCACAAGGGACTGTGGTGATGGTCACAGGTCCTGTGGTGGTGGGAGAACTATGGGAACTACACCTGAGGGGAGAAATCAAATACTGAACAACGATGTAAGGAAAAAAACACCCCTTTGGTGGGGCTCCCCGGTGGCGCAGTGGTTGAGCGCTGGGTTGCGAGGCTGCCCGCAGCCTCTGCAGCGCCGGTTTGATCCCCAGCTGCTCCCCAGCCACCGGAGGAGGGTCCCACATGGCGCGCAGACCTCTCCTGCCACCCGCTGCTCCCCTCAGCAGTGTACTTCGGTCCTTCTGCCTGCTCTGCTCCCCGCTCTGGCTCTGGTGAATTCTCTCACCCTCCCGTGCTTCTGACTGTACCCAGTGCATGTATGTATGTATGTATGTATGTATGTATGTATGTATGTATAAAAAATAAATAAATAAATAAATAAATCTTTAAAACAAAACAAAACAAAACACACCCCTTCTGTAACAACAGAATTTTCAAGATCATGAATGTGATTTTTTTGGCTCTGCTATAAACTATGAAAGGGGTGCACTAGCAGGACCATAATCCCCTGAATGGGATCGGAGAAGCTGCAGCAGGGCCCCAAAGTAACTGCTAGAAATGATAGCAATCCCTGCTGTTAAAAGCCTCCCACACTTTTCACATTTGGATCTTAAAATCTTAAACCGGTCACCAAGCATGCCAGCACTTGCACAAGACTCATTCGCAAGGCCACCGCGTTTCTGACTGTATAAACCATTATCCGTGGGGGCCTGAAGTCTAGTTTGCACACACTAGGGTTTCACTTATCACCAGGCTAGTTTTCCTTGGACACTCAGTGATGCCCAGGAAGGGCTGCATTTTCAAGCTGTTTCTCTAACATCTACTTTCTTGGACAGGCTCCAGACTTGGACTTGCTGGGCCTGCCTGCTCAGGATGACTGCCCTGAGAGAGAAAAGCTATGAAAAAGGAGAATTTCAAGACCTAGCAAATTATGCCATATAAAGGTTTGCAGTAACAGAGGGAGGCTGGTTTTCACCTGGGGAGAGCAGGGAAGGCAGTGATTACAAGCCAGGGCCTGAACCAGACTCCTGGATTTGAATCCCGGCTTGAGCACGAGCAGGGGGGCTGGTACAAATTACTTAACCTCTTGGGGGCTTCAATTTCCTCACCCACATAATGGGGGGACATTAAAAGGGGCTGACTTCTGTTAGATGTTTGATCTGAAAGTGTTTTCTCCCATACTCTGTTCTGGTGATGGATCTTATTATAGACTTACAGTGCTGTATATCAGAAACTCATATAATGTTACACCAATGTCACCTCAATGAAAACTTATGTAAAAATAGTTACTAAAGTATAGAGCTGTGTTATGATTCACTGAGTTGCTACAGGTGAAACCCTTCAAACTTGGAAAGAAAGCACTTTGTAAACATTAGCTATAAGGCCAGCATGTGAAGATGTTTGTTCTTACTTTTAAAGTCATCCGTTTATAGAGAAGGCATTCTATTTCTTCCTGTAATCTCTCTCATTATCTCCTTCACAGTTAAGGTTTACACTTGTGAAAGAAATACCATTTGTGTGTGTAAGTATCTGTGAAAATTTAGCCAAGGCTGAGAAAATGTATTAGAGAAGGTGTATCAAGCCTTTCTCTTTCAGCAAACAAAATCCTCATAACAGCCTATGAGGTAAGTAGAGTTCTGTCTCTTTTATGGAGGAGGAAACTGAGGCACAAAGAGATGAAATAATTTGTTCCCAAATTAAGCAACTTTTGGGAAGTCGGAAAAGTCATGACGTATTTTTTCTGTTTTCAAGCAAAAATGCGTCATGACTTTTCTGACAACCCAATAGTAAGTGAAAGATCTGATATACTCAGAGCCCCAATGACATGCTGACTTCTTCCTACACTACCTCCCACATGGTCCATGAAATGAATTCTAGTTCCTGTCAGAGCATTTACATACTTTGTTTCCAGACTTCAAGGCACTTGGTTTGTTCAGTATTCACAGGAAGTAGGGAACCATCATTCTGCTTCCTCAAGTTTCTTATCTTTTCAGATTATAGTTTAATATACTTTTCTGATAATAACTTGAATATGCACTGATGGGAGACAATCTGAGAACATCCTGTAGTGGATGCCGGTTGCTTTGCTAACTGGATCTGTTTCCAGCCCAGGAAGAGGAACCATAATTTGCTTTGCGGGCAATAACTTTCCCATTTTCAGGCTCATTGTCTGGGTTGTTCTGAGCCTTCCTGTGCTGCAGAAGTAGCTCCTGATTGGTTTGAGAGAAATAGGGACTTCAGACCCTGGGTCTCAGTGACCAAATCAAAGATTGACAAATGGCCTACTAAGAGTCACTGATAGGTGAGGTGACATCTAGCAATGCCTATAAAGGGCAGCTTCCTCTGGCATTAGAGACCTCGACTGAGGCCACCCTCAGATCTGGGACTTTCAATTACAGAAACCAATCCATCACTCTCCCCATTTTTGTTGTTTAAGCAACTGGAGATTGATTTTCTGTCACCAAAACCTGAAAGGAACCCAACCATAAAGAATAGCAGGGAAAAAAATCTGTTATCTACATAAAGGCACATTCCTACAGAATGCTAATATGTTTACACATTTAAATGATTTTACGTTATTAATTTTATCCTTCCCTGTACCCTATGATAACTATAAAATTTTCACATCACAAAACATTACCAAGGACATCTTTTTCATGGTTGTATTATATTCCACTATATGACTGGTTAGAAGTAGAATATTTGGCTAATATGTATATATAGAGAATATATGACATATATGCTATAGGAATACATATATGCAATATATACATATATAATAACTGTAACTCAATCCTTTTTTAAAAAGATTTATTATTTATGCATACAAGAACTGGGGTACAGGCCAGAGGTGCAGAGGGTGAGAGGATTCACCAGAGACTGAGTGGAGAACAGAACAGGCAGATTTGCTGAAATACACTGCTGAGGGGAGCAGCGGGCAAGTCAGGAGAGGTCTACTGCGCCATGTGGGTAGCTTCCTGGCCGGCCAGCGATCGAACTCATGCTTCAGTGGCTGTAGATAGCTTCATAGGTTGTGTCTTAACCCCCTGTGCTACCAGGGAGGCCCTGTAATTCAATCTTTAGTGACTATTACTGCCCATTACAAAATACTTTCTGCCGAAAGTTTTAAAGGTTTAATTAGTTTTTAGAGCACCTGAATATTTTTGAGACATACTGCCAAAGTGCTTTCCAAGAAGGCTGGAGAAGGGTAAAATTCCAATACCCGACTATGAAGAGGTGATGCATTTCATCTTTACATCTTTACAGATGCATTTCTTCTTTACATTGAGCCTCATCATTTGGAGGTGTAAAAACTATACCTCATTTTAATGTGCACTGATTTAATGACTAGTAAGGCTTGACATCTGCCAGTACAGAGATCTCTGGTGAAATCTTAGAAGTGATCTGGATTCTTTGTGTAGTAAAGGTAATACTCCCTTTTATGCCCCATTTGCTAAGAAATATTTCTCTAATAGTTTTAATTAAACTTAGAATGCTTTTTGCTATATGGAGATCTTTCAATATTTACCCCTGAGACCCGTGTTGCTGCTAAGTTCTAAAAATCTTTTTACATCAAGAAACCATATTCATCAATATTTCTAGTTCTTTTATGGTGTTACATTGTTTACATGTTAAGTGGTTATTACAGTTATTAATATTTATTACAGTTAAGTGGTTCATAGTACAGTTTTCCTTTGTTTGCCCAAATACTATCAAGTGTTCTATTACCATTTAGTGAATAATCTTATTTTACTGATTTATTAAATAAATATAATATATTATATTTTACCCTTCTCCAGCCTTCTTGGAAAGCACTTTGGCAGTATGTCTCAAAAATATTCAGGTGCTCTAAAAACTAATTAAACCTTTATAAATAAATAAATATATTAAATTACTGATATTAGAGCTCAAATCTAGGCTTCATGTCTTATTTTCTTTTGGTTATTCTTGAGCCAATACAAGTCTCTTGTTGTCAATTATTCTAATAACTAAATTATATTACTAGTATGATTTGACCAAAAATAGACCGCAGATGAATAAATTATTTTATTGTGGAGCTATTTTCTTTCTTTTTTTAAAAAAAGATTTCTTTTATTTATTTATGCATACAAGAACTGGGGTATAGGCCAGAGGTTGGGTGGGAGGTGAGAGGATTCATCAGAGACAGAGTGGGGAGTGGAATAGGCAGATCTACTGAAATCCACTGCTGAGGGGAGCAGCGGGCAAGACAGGAGAAGTTTGCTTTGCCATGTGGGTCAGCTCCCTGGCTGGGGATCAAACTGGCGCTGCAATGGCTGCAGATAGCTTCATAGTACTGGACTTAACCCCTGCGCCACCAGGGAGGCCTTTATTATGGAAATATTTTCTTTTTGTCTGGAGTTATTTGCTTATAGTTTCTTTTGTGTCTTTGCAATGCTTTTTATGTTTTCATAGTTCTTATTACCATTTTTGCAAAAGCTATTTCTAGACATTTTGCTTTGGTGGTTGCTACTGAAAAAATTTAGAATTTGTAATGCCTCCTGTTTGGTTTCTTCACCAAAAACTGAAAAATCCTGAGCCACTCATCTGATTTAAGTAAATATGGGGGAAGGAACCAGGAAAACCACTGTGAACAGATACTTTGACACCTCAAGGGTAGTACCATGTGGTGGCTATGTTGTTCTCTGGAAACAGTTCTTTCTATGAGGCTACAATATCCGGACTCAACTTTTAGTTTACTTGACATTTAAAATTAAATAGTAGAAAATGTGTTGTCAACTCTTACCCAGAAGAAGACAGCACTTGCACACAGCGTTATCCGTATACATTTTCCCCAGGTAGAAAAAGGAATACGTTCTTCTTCCTAATTAAAAAAAAAACAAAACAAAAAAACAACAAAGTTCAGTCCATCAAGGGAATATTCCAATGAAATTTTTTTTTTCTGTTCAGTCATGAAATTTAATTTTCTAGAAATTTGTTTTCAAATATGCTTCCTTACTCTTAACTGCATAGTCTTTTGTTAACAAGTCCAAACATACACAGAACAGAACACATGCAGTGTTTATAGTATTTTCTGGAACAGCAAGCCTGAGACACAAGTTATTTACCTGATAGAACCTCAGCTCAGGAGTTTGGGTATCTGAAAATGTGGAGCTGTAAAGAGACATTCCTGAGTTTGTCTTAGATTTTAGGAGAAATCTACAATGACAGCAGTTTCACAGACATCTGCAAATACAAGGTATCCAGGATGTGGCTTTTGGTTGAGTTTTATATTATATCTTAATTTGGTATAACTATTTATTTTTAGAATCTTCCCTTTACAGTTTATCTGAGTATATTTACATTTTTCAAAGGATAATCAATACTTCTCAAGATTTATCTGGATTATAAGAGGAGCTATTATGTGATAATTGCTGCAAATACAAATTTCCTTTACTCTGTGGCAAGTACTCTTCTTTTTTATTTATTTTTTTTTGTGTCGAAGAACTAGGGTACAGGCCAGAGGTGCAGAGGGTGAGAAGGTCCCCCTGAGAAAGAGTGGGGAGCAGAACAGGTAGATCAACTGAAATCTACTACGGGGAGCAGTGGGCGAGACAGGAGAGGTCTGCTGTGCCCTTATGTGGCTGGTTTGATCTCCCTGGCTGGAGATCAAACTCAGGCCTTGGCGGTGATAGTGCTGAGACTTAACCCCTAGGCCACCAGGGAGGCCCTCCAGGTTCTATTCTAAGTGGGTTTTATACATTAAGTCTATTAACCGTTGCCATACTCACTGGAGGAGCAATTCTGTTCTGCTCCTTAACAGTTGAAGAAACAGTATCGCCAGAGAAGTGACATTTTTTTGCTTAAGACAATTCATTTGTAAATTACTGTGTTCAGATTTGAACTCAGGCATGCTCATTCCTGACTTCACAGCCATGCCAGGGTAACAAAAGTAAAATGAGGGAGAAAGGTAAAGCAAAATGAATATTCATGTTCAATTTTGTAACAAGCAACATTTCAATGGAATGGACTGGTATCACTTGGCAATTTTCAATTAAAAAAGCGCAGGTTTTAATTGCCAAATTGTCTCTTTTTTCTTTAGTATTTTTCCAATGTTGCCAATATTACAAGCTTTTGTTTTTCAGTACTGAAAGTCATTATTTACATCTCCTTTTGTTGAAGCGTCAGCCTTTATTTCTGATCATCTTTTCAACACACGCCTTGATTCTGTCTTCTGGAATAAGTGGTAGGATCTATTCATTATGGGAATTATTTAAAGCTTGTTTCATGGTAAAAGACAAATGTCACCTTCTGTTGATAATTGAACTTCATTTTTTTCCCCATTTTAAAAATGAGGAGGTTGTACGGCTCCCTCCAGTTCATTTCAGTGTTGACATTCTGTAAATCTGTGATTTAATTTATAAAATCTATAGTTGGGGACATTTGCAGATGCTCGTGGTGAAAGCATTTTCTTTCCAAGAGAGATTTGTATTCAGAACCCACCATCCTTATGCTGATGACTGCCAATACAATCAGCTCTAAATTTCCTGTGTTGATGGAAGGAGCAATAAGGCAGATGATTCAGAAATCATCTTTCATTGGCTTTGAATATTTATACAGATGGTTTTTTTTTTCATCTTTGCAGCAGTAACCACAGCAGCAAATTTACCTTTCCAATTCTATAAAATGCCTAGCATGGTGCCTCAACATAGTTGGACCTCAACAAATGTTTCCCTTCTCTCTCCATCCCTCTCTGACTTTAGGGCAAGAGTCACACTATTTTGTGCATTCCAGCCAGAAGGTGGAGCCGTGACTCAGGCTAGTGGAGACAAAGAGCAGCCAGTCTAGGCATTGAGTCAACTATAAAAACCAATGTGTCTCTCCTTCCATGTTGTATCATAGCCTAATTTCCCACATATTTACTGGTTTTATCAGAAACAGGACACAAACACTGCACCTTTTCTTCTATAGTATGTCACTCCAATTTGGTTTTCATTATTGCTGTCACCACAAAGAGGAGACCATACTTGTCTCCTAAGTCCACTGTTCTGTGTCCCAAACACACCCCAGGCCACTAAGAACCCTCAAAGGATGTAGTGAAGGGTCACAGGCATCAATAATTGTCAAGGTCAGGCCTCCCTGGTGGCCTAGGAAGCACTGTCACTGCTATGGCCTGAGTTCAATGCCTGGTCAGGAAGCTGGCCTACATGGTGCAGCAGACCTCTCCTGTCTCTCCCGCTGCTCCCCTCAACAGTGGATTTCACTACATCTGCCTGTTCTGCTCCTCACTCCGTCTCTGGGGAATCCTCTCACCCATGGCACCTCTGGCCTGCACCCCAGATCCTCTACATACAAAAAAATTGTGAAGGTGCCCAAGTGATTCCAATATGCAGCCAAGGCTGATATCCACTGCACTAGCCAGACTGAACTGCATGGAAACAGCGCCCTTACCTGCGTGATCTCGTTGATCACCACGTGCGTGCACTGCGCCTCATACTCTGGCCGGGGTTGCTCTTCCTGCTGTAGCTCGACGGTGTCCCACTCGTACTCCAGCTCTGCCTGACGCCTCTTCCAAAACTCCAGAAACAAGGTAACTAACAGAGACAAATACATGGTCATTCGAATCTAATTTATAGATAATAGTAATATTTAAAAGAGAAAAGTGAAGCAATGGTTTTTATTAACAAACAGGACAATTCATCTTGGAAAATGTGATGTGAATGTGTCCAAACTGTCTGCTACCCATATTTTATTGGGTAGCAATAAAAACATCAATATTATCATTTAAGAGCAATTCTGTCTGTGTTTTCTTACTTCCCTCTCCTCCTCTTTTCTCCAGGCCCTGTGTAGGGGATGCTTTGGTCAGCCACAAATCTCTATCCACCACCACCCAAGCAAGCCACCCCAAACTCATAAAATTCTTAAATCTAAAAAACTGCTACTTGTTTCAATCTTGTATAAAATATGAAAGAAATAATTTGCATTATAACATAAATTTCAGGCATGCATCACTGAAATCTTTATTTTTCAAGAACTATAACTTAAAACACTAAATAAAAACAACAGCAAATGTTAACTGAAAAGGTAGTTCCAGAGTAAATGCCCTAAGTCCTTCTAATCAGGCTGCTACATGCCCTTCCTGTACAGAAATTTGGGAATGACCACTCTTCCTTCCACAAAGATTTTTTTGAGTCTCTACCATGTGCTGAGAGGAAAAAAAAAAAAAAAAAAAAAAAAACCCAGTCCCTAGTTCAAGGAGCTCCAAGGCGTGTGGGACTGAAGCAACGAGGGCTATGATCAAGGTTGCTCTGAGCAACAGATCAGCACGTGTAGCCAGATGTCAGATGGGAAGGCTCTTCCAGAGGAGGGGACCACAGTGGCGAGTTTTGAGATAACTTATTGATCATGTGAAGATGGAACTTTCAGCCATTTCCCGCCAAGAAACTGTGTGTAAAGGCCAGAAGGCCAAGGAAGCCACGTATCTTCTGGGAAATGCAAACAGTTCAGGTGTAATGGAGAGATGTGTTCCCGCTGCCTGGGGAGCAGCGGGAACATGTTACAGAGGACTTGGGTGGCTTGAAAGGAGTTTGGGTTTCAAGTCAAAGGTGGAGGAGACAATGGCTCTGGTCCAGAGTGAGACCAGAGGCAGCAAGACCCACTGGCAGGTAAAGATCAAGCCTCTCCAGCCAAGAGAGCAAGGATGTAGGCCAGCTTTCTAGCTTGGGTGAGGTCCCAAATTCTAGTGTCATCCTATGGAAGAAGAGCAGTAAGAGAAGCAAGTCTGAGTGAGAAGACAACTGGTTTGATTCTGATCCGGTGCCTGTGGGTCACTAGAAGTCTACTAGGCAGGTAAAAGCCTAGAACCCAGGCTGTCAGGAATTTTTATTAAGTGGTAACTGAGCCATGAGTGGATGAGATGCTAAACGGGGTACTGAGCAGTTCTCCGCTGGCTGCATGTGAGAAGCATCTGGAGCTTTAAGCAACACTGCCCAGGCACCAGCCCCAAGATTCCGAATCCATTGTCTAGGATGGTCCTCAGCGCTGTGATTGCCTTTAAAGCCCCACTCAGCATTCAGAGTTAAGAATCGCTGAGTGGAGAGTGGAGAGCCTGGCCTGGAATCCTGCAGAGGAGGGCCAAGATGCGGGGGGGAACCTCCCAGCCCTGCCTGGGACGCCACGCGCCAGTGACAGAAGGGGATGTGTAGGGGACGTGCCCACTCCCAGCAGAACTAGCTGCGACTTCAGTCATTTTCAATAATAGTGTGTGAGAGTAGAAATCACACGGACACTGGAATCAAGTCAAAACCCTGGTCCTGACAAGGGTATGTGGTATGTGGTATGTGGTAGCTGGTTAAAATGTTTCATCTGGGGCCTCCCTGGTGGTGCAGGGGTTAAAGTCTCAGCTCTATTAAGCTATCCCCAGCCACTGTAGCATGAGTTCCATCCCCGGCCAGGGAACTACCCACATGGCTCAGTAGACCTGCCCTGTCTCGCCTGCTGCTCCCCTCAGCAGTGAATTTCAGTAGATCTGCCTGTTCTGCTCCCCACTCTGTCTCTGGTGAGTCTTATCACTACCTGCACCTCTGGCCTGTACCCCAGTTCTTGTAAGCATAAATAAATAAAAATAAATTTTTTAAAAAGTAAATAAAATGTTTCATGTATCTGAGCCTTTGTTTTCCTGCCTGTAAAAAAGAGAAACAGAACCTGCCTTATAAGGTTGGTGTGAACTCAATGACATTGTATCTCTAAAGGCCCTCCCAACTCTCTAAGACAGTTGCCAGTATCGTCCTCATGTTAGACATAAAGAAATAAAGGCACAAAGAGATTTGGATCTTTGACTGAGGTTACAATATGGGAGGCTGGGGTGAGCCCCTGGCACTCTGGCATCCCAACCCAAGTTCTTCTTACAATGTGTTACTGCCCCAAGTGGGTGCCCCTTGACCACAAGGAGATGAGCAGACTTTGGGGTGAAATCTACAAAGCCCTTGGGTACTTTTTCCTGACACTCTCAGGGCACCCAAATGCTCCAAGTCCTCTAAGTAACAACCTGTCAGGTGCACGACCTGGCCCACCTGTGAGACCCGAGAGCAGGCCTGATCAGTCGCCCTGCTGGCAGGAAGAACTCTCCCCTTAAGGTTTTTTACACTTGGACTCAGTACCTCCTTCTAGACAGTAAGAGCAGCTAAGACAGTATTTGCAGCCCCAGAACCTTCAAAGGCTGACCTCTTGGGGAGAAAGAGGCATGCACTTACATCTTAGAGCTCAGCACTCCCCTGCCCATCAAGGCCACAGCAAAGGCCAGGGACCCATGCTGAATACTCAGTTGGAGAGTGAGCCTTTTTGCGAAACTGCCCTCATCCCCTCTGGGGTGCAGTGGCAGGGAAAGTGGTGAGTCAAGGTTGAAGGTTTTATAGTTCTAGGAGTGCACTGGGGCTGGATGGTCCTGCTTCTCACTTCAGCCAGGCTGGCCCCATGGGGTGGATGGGTACTTTTCAATGAGACTCCTACCTGGGAGTGAGGGTGCAATACCCACGAGCCAGCCCTCCTTGGGATGCTGATCAAGCAGCAGAGTGGATGCTACTCACTCACCAGAGTGATTGAGATTCACATCTCTGACAAACACCATGTTTCCTTAAAGAACCCCACTTTTTACTCTCTTGGAGGACTCTACTGTCAGTATCGCCTATACCCCTCAGGTTCTTTGCACTGTGCTCCCCTCTAGCAGTACAAAATCATTCCAGAAGAAGTGCATGCTCTTGCAAAAAGGCGTGCTTCACTCTCCACGCTGACTTCAGCTTCCGTGTTCAAAACAGATAGCAGTTACTATTCTTGCCTGGATTCGCTTCTGCCTTTAGAGTTTATCGTGCCTACTGGAAGGTCTCCCTTACGGGGTGGGGATTCTGTTTTGTTGATAGCGAAGCACTGGCACACAGCAGGCACTGGCACACAGCAGGCACTCTTTCATACTAGCTGGATGAAAGAGCTGTAGGAAGTCACTCCAGAAACTGGGGAATCCCCATGGCTGGCACCCCCAGAAGGATGGAGCCATCCACTTAAAAGGGCCGTGGGCTCCAGCTGCTCTCGACTCACAACCACAGCTCGGCACCCCTACCTGCCATCCCTGTCCACGTGGGCCCAGGTATCCCCAGAAGCAGAATATTGTATGGAGAATGATTTACTGTTGATCCTATGGATGTCGATTTACTGTGAAGTCACAGTAGCACCAGGCCCTTGACTGCTAAATAGACAGACAGGGGGGGTTCATCGTATGTCATCTCCTCCTTCATAATTCACTTCAAGGCCACACACCAGGGCAGCACCGGCTCTTCCAACCCAAAGACAGGGCTGCAGCTGGTAGGGTGTGGGTCCCTTAGGGTGCCCACTGGAAAAGCTCTCTAAAGCCACACTAGAGATCTTCCTTATGTTGCTGGAATCCTTCTAAATTGTGATAATGAGATATAAAGATCTTTTTGAAATTTCTCTTATTTACTTTTTTTTAAAAATTTTTTAAAATATTTATTTATTTATTTATACAAGCACTGGGTACAGTCAGAAGCGCGGGAGGGTGAGAGAATTCACCAGAGCCAGAGCGGGGAGCAGAGCAGGCAGAAGGACCGAAGGACACTGCTGAGGGGAGCAGCGGACGGCAGGAGAGGTCTGCATGCCATGCGGGATCCTCCTCCGGTGGCTGGGGAGCAGCCGGGGATCAAACCAGTGCTGCAGAGGCTGTGGGCAGCTTCGCAACCCAGCACTCAACCACTGCGCCACCAGGGAGGCCCTCCTTTTATTTACTTTTAATAGAGAAAAGCCTCAATTTCCAAAACAGATTACTTTCATGAGTTGATATATCCAAACACGATGATTTTGAAAGGAAATTGTGATGAGGAACATCAAGGCCTGCTGTACTTTGGCCCCAGTGGGCCTAGAGGTTCCAACAAGACAAACCTGTGTTTACCCTGTAAGCCTGTCAGAAAGAGGATGGAAGCTGGTGCTTTCTCAGTTCTGATCAGATGTACCTGAATCAGGTAAGGTGGCATCAAGGGCATGGCACAAACACTTCCTAATCCATTCCTATTTTTTAGAGGCCCAGACAAAATAGTGCAATGATGTGAATCAAAAGATATATTTCTGCATCTTTTAAAAGCTTGCTACATCTGCTGCCCTCTAGTAATACACACTGCATTTTGGCATGGCCCTAAAGGCTGATCACAGTCTAATTATTTGCAGAGCTCTGTATCTGTGCCTGTCACCCTTTGCCTTTGGGATCTTTAGTAAGAGGAAGATTATGCAATCTCCCTCAGCATCATTTTCCTCTTCTTGAAAAATGGGAATATAATAGCATTAATTTACTCAGTATCTAGCAATAGTATCAACAGATGATTTATGAAAATGAACTTGCTTCCCTACGGAAGAAAAAGCAGTATAAGCAATTCTACAGGTGCTATAAGAGAAGACCAATTAGATCCCTTCGCCCCTTCTCCCTGAACGTGGACATAAGGGATAAAAAGGCTGTTTAGCAAACCCTGAACTTTCAGAGCAGTTCTGCCTAGGAAGTGATAAAACTGCCATGTAAGCAAGAAATGACCTGGTAAAAAATAATGAGTTGTTAGCAAATCCTCACCTTTGAAGGAGAAAACCCTGGGGGCTGCAGGAATAAAGGGGAGTTTCTCAGTTTCTCATTCTGCATAGCAAAGGACTTTGGAGGTCCATGGAGGACACTGGTAAACCAGCATGGCCACCCAGTGTTCTGGAATATTCTGGGCAGTCACTGCTGACTCCCATCATCCCATCACTGTGGCCCAGTCTGACACACAGGATGGTTCTGTCAGGTGGGAATATCCTGTCCTGTGTCTTTCCCCCTCTTCCTGAAATAAAACAACCAGTGGAAGCCCCATGGGGAGCACACCATATATGTTCTCTGGCAATCACAATTCAGGAGTCCTAGCTGATGACAGCTCAGAATTCTTACATCAGCATAGAATGAGAGGAGGGAAGTTTGCCCAGGCCCAGAGAAAGTACACATCAGATTAGGGAGATGCTCATACACAAAAGTGGGGTTCAAACCCATAAGGCATTGCAGCAAGTGAGGACAAAAGACATACTCTGGTAGACGGGAGGGTTCTGATTGTCAGAGTTTGCTTCTGAAGGGCTGGGCATTTTAATGGCATTGAATCTATTTAGCTGTCTGTACTCATAAAGGCAGCTTAAGTAGATGAACTCGCTCAGCCTTGATTCCTAATTAAAAATCACATTTTTTAGACCCTTTTGCAGCAAAGATGCCTCTGTCCATCATTGGTTAAGAGGTGGGTGTGGAGTGGGTGTGGTCCTCATAGGAGCCCATCTTGGAACTAAGAGCTACAATAGTCACCACCTGATCCCTGACTGCAGTTGGTACGGGGGTGGCTTCCTGGCTTTTCTGGCCCCTTGTAAGCTAATTGTCTGGAAATCCCTAGGCCAGCTGAAAATTCAAAGATGAACATTTACAGTCATGCAGCTGAGAGCTTGGATTCAGGGAAAATCAGGCAGAAGTAGGTCGAAGCAACAAAGAATGGGGAGAGGAGATGTTCAGACCTTCTATGGGTTGGGAGTGAGGACTCTGGTAAGAATGAGTGATGACCTGGCTTGGCCTAGAAGGGTGGACATTTTTCAGGTAAGCATGTGACCTGCACTACATTTCTTAAAAAAAGAACTATCCACAACTCTTATAACTCCCAGGGAGTAGAAAAATATCCTAAGTGCCACATCCATGTGGGGACACAGAGAGACAATAGGAATATGGTGATGGTGATTTGAAAACATCCCAAGACCCTCCTCCCTCTTCAGTTTTGCAATTTCAGACTTTCTGTGATGAAGTTCACAGTAGTCCTTGTAAGGAAGAAGTAACCAGAAAAGGAATAGAAGGCATTTCAAATAAAGAGTTCATCCCACACACACATAGCCTTACAGACATGCAGATGGTGCTCCGGGCAGGGCTACACTCTAAATCTGCTTCAAGAAAACCTGCAGCTCAATATGCTTAAGTTAGTTTCATAAACATTGCATGAAGATCATAGAAAGGCACTAGGAAATAGGAGGTTTGATTTTCCAGTGTCAACATTAATAAATGTAGAGCCTTACTTAAATGTCTTTTTTAACTGGGACCATCAGCATCCACTAGCGTATGTAGTTTACTGGATGCGCTGGAATTTCAGAGACTACAAAGCAAGCTGAGACAATGGTTATAGTGCCCAACACCTTTGGGTCTGGCACTCATATGCTTATGGGGGAAACTGATTTATCATGGAGGGTTCAGAGGGTCTGAATACATGAACTTGATCTTTAGCATTCTATGTGTCAAATGCAGCCAGTACTTGGTCTCTAACTGAAACATGTAGCTTATTAGCTAAACTTGACTATCATAAAGGTCACTTTTTCAAGGAGAGGCAACTGAGATCTCTAAAAAGTGTCCCCAATAATTGTGGGACAGGCACAACCACTGCTAAGAGAAAGCCTGTCCCGGACACCAGAAGCTTCTGTGAGTGTTGCAGAATACAGACTTGGCTCTGTTTCCCCATCTACCTGCAACCTGAACTCCATTCCCCCTTGATTTATACCATGAAATTAGAAAGGCATGTATCTTGGCAAATGGAAATTTTTTCTTCTGTGGTAGAATAGTCACATCAATTAAAGATTGAAAAGTCTGCATTAGAAGAAAATGGTGATTGCCTCTTTACATTAATGATACTATTAGAAGTAAATAATATAAATATAGAGTTGAAGTTTCTTTACAGGAATTGTATTTGTTAGGATTATATCTCTTTTATTACCAAATAGAGTTTGTTATTTCATCCTGTGGAGAATCCTGGCCTAGCCACTGAAGGATGAGACACCGCATGGAACAGGATTTGCGAGAGGTACTTTTTGATGCAGCAAAAGTTAACTGATACAGCAGTGTTAGAGTTATAAATGGAGTTCCAGCGGAACTGGAGCTTGGGCAATCCAAGACCCTAAAAGTAGTAGCTGAGATAAAACATACGTTGCTATTTTACAGGTACCTGTCTTGTCTGAGAGTTTTTTTTAATGTTAAGAGACAAAAGTAAACTAAATAAATGAAAACAACTTACCCCACACTCCCATAAACACGGCAAAGACTAGGGTTCCAAAACTGTCAAAGATGCACAATTTCTGGAAAATACAATAATGGTCTATGAATGAATTCTGTTCTCCATTTATGAGAATTCAGCAAGTATATAGGTTTTGTGTATTCCACAGTCCAAATTTCTTTTCAAAGCTGATACATAGTTTTACAATCACCATATCGTCTACATACTTAGAGATGAGCTTTCTCATTCTTTTGAAAACAAATAGCCTTTGCTATAATTACCAGAGTGCATTTTCCACAGGAATATTTCTATATCATAAATAGTGAAATAGGCATTGCTAAAATTTCACTCTGTTGAAAGTCGCTATCCTGTTTTTGAATGATCTTATAAGATTGACTATGGTGAACTGGAGGAGGTGGTGTAGCCCCATGGAAGCAATTCTTCATTCACCATCATCCACTTTGCTCCTAGCGTAAGTATCCAGATTTCTTTTTTTTTTTTTTAAGATTTATTTTTATTTATTTATACAAGTACTGGGTACAGTCAGAAGTGCGGGAGGGTGAGAGAATTCACCAGAGCCAGAGCAGGGAGCAGAGCAGGCAGAAGGACCGAAGTACACTGCTGAGGGGAGCAGTGGGTGGCAGGAGAGGTCTGCGCGCCATGTGGGACCCTCCTCCGGTGGTCGGGGAGCAGCCGGGGATCAAACTGGCGCTGCAGAGGCTGCGGGCAGCTTCGCAACCCAGCGCTTAACCGCTGCGCCACCGGAGAGGCCCAGTATCCAGATTTCTGCTGCTCTTGTTAAAGTACCAAGCTAGGGCTGGTTCTGAGGCAGCTCTACCCCAGATCTTCTTCTTCAAACCCTGTGACAGCTCTGACACAACTGCTGACAGGTCTTCACTGGACCAAGATACAAGGGTGCTCTCTTTTGGCTGACATTGCAAAGGTCACAGTGACCACAGATGAATAAATGACATGCCTGGGCAAAAAAGGCACTGCTCACTAGTTCTTCTAAATTTAACCTTTTTTGCTAGTCTATGAATAGTGTATTTCCTCTATGAATTCCTAAAAATATCTTACAATCAGTTAATAGTTTTTCATTAGTAAACATTTTTATGTCTCCTAAAAATATCTATAAAGTTACTGTGAAAAATAGCAAGCATATATAATATTGGCTTCATTACAGATCATCTGAAAAGCAAGAAAGACAGGGTAGAAAAAAAGAAGATATGGGTTAAAAAAAAGCAAATTCAAATGCTCAAGAAAATTCAAAGTTGTTTTTAAGGAAATCTATCTAGTGTTGGTAACTTGGGGTTGCCCTTTATTATTATTTTTTAAAGATTTATTTATTTTTGTACAAGAGCTGGGGTACAGGCCAGAGGTGCAGGAGGGTGAGAGGATTCACCAGAGACTGAGCAGGGAGCAGAACAGGCAGACAGACCGAAATACATTGCTGAGGGGAGCAGCGGGTGCCACAGGAGAGGTCTGCCACACCTGCCCTTTATACTGATAAAAAGTGACTAAGCTTTCATTTATGTAAAGACATTAATTAGTTATGGTATTTTTGGTATAAAAGAATATCTACTTAACCATCTTCTCATACACCTGTTTTCTGAAGTAAGTAGATGCCCCTCAACTATCCATATGCTTCTGACCAGGAAAGCACGACCCCAAATTGTCATCCAATTATTCCTCTCAAAATCCCAGATCAAAGACACAATCACTAAGTGAGTGGGAGTTATGGGGAGCACTGCTCTTCCTCTACTTCTGAGGCCTGGGATTCCACTTCTCTCAAGTTTGACTCCAATGGAAACGTATTCTCAAGTTGTGAAATGCTTTTGCCTTATCCCTTACTCAAAATTATTAACAGAAAACTCCTGTGAAAAACTGTGCTATTATTGAAGATTCTTTAATGTAAATGTGGCTTGGATGATGTGGCCATTTTTGCCAAGAGAAAGAATTAGATGACTATCCTCTCTACTCTGTTGCTCCATGAGTGACGTGGGCTAGGAATCTAGGGAGATGGTAGCAAGGGGTTTCTCTGGTCAGAGGCTTAGGTGAGCCTGCTTGACAGGGTAGCATGGGAGAGTCAGCTATTAAGAGCAGCCCCCAATTAGTTCATGGCCTCAGTGACATAGAGCAGGAAAGCAGCCTTGATGATTTTAAATAGAGGAACCACAGAATCTAGAAAAGTGTGGGGCCTCCCTAGTGGCCTAGGGGTTGAGTTTCAGTGCTGTCACCACCATGGCCTGAGTTCGATCCCTGGCCAGGGAGCTGACCCACATGGCACAGCAGGCCTTTCCTGTCTCACCCACTGTTCCTCTCAGCAGTGGATTTCAGTAGATCCACCTGTTCTACTCCCCACTCTGTCTCTGGGGAATCCTCTCACCTCTGCACCTCTGGTCTACACCCCAGTTCTATGCAAAAATAAAAAATATCTAGAAAAGTAACCATTTGCTATATTTTCATTCTGTAAGGGTAATTTAAAATTTTATAATATATGTATTTCCAAGAACAATAGAGTATAGCTTACTACACTCCCCTTTAGCTTGCCAATTAAAAGGTCAAGAATGCTATTTTGTGTTTAATCACAAAATCAGTATTAATTGTAGTTATTTCTATAACTGTTTCTTCATTTCCCTGAATGTGATTTCTATTTCTAATCTGTTAACCCTTTAAATACCCATGTTGATTAGTAAATATTCTATCTTTCTTTCCAAAAAAGCGGTAGAAAGGAATATATATAAATGTATGAATGAAAAAATGATTGCCTTAAGCAAAAAACAGAAAAGAACAAAAAGATGCTTTCTCCTTCTTGAACTTAATTTTTCATTTCATCCTATTACTCAATATTTTGTGTGCCTCTTTCCCTTCGTAAATCATTGTGCTGAAGTTCAAGAGGTCCTTCAGGAAACTGGGATAGTATCCAATATTTACTTTTCCCAAAACAATAGAAATAATATGTACACAGAGAGGGACATATTTGAAAGTCATGTGCTTAAAGCTGGATAAGTGGAACAGAAGAAATGATAGAAGAGATGGGAAGGAGTGTGTGACAGAATTTCTTAAGGAAAATTATATTTCCGGTTGTACTTTGTGGAGGATAATTTGCCTCTGGTATTATTGGAGGTGTAGACCTAAATCCAGTGCCTGACAACACACACTAACTGGTGACCTTTATGAGTCAGCATCACTGGAAGCAGCTCCTTATTACCAGGCTCAAGTCTTGTTCCTTGTGTCATCTATGGCAGATAGTTATAATCTTGAATTTGTGTTGGGTTGGAGGCAATAAAATCCATTTTAATTAAAAAATCAAGTGTAGGGCCTCCCCAGTGGCACAGTGGGTTGAGTGCAGCGCTGTGAAGCTGTCCGCAGCCTCTGCAGCACTGGTTTGATTCCCGGCTGGCCAGGGAGATGCCCACATGGTGTGGCAGATCTCTCCTGTCACGCCCACTGCTCCCCTTAGCAGTGTATTTCGATCATCTGCCTGTTCTGGTCCCTGCCCTGCCTCTCCCCCACACCTCTGGGCTGCACTCCAGTTCTTGTATAAATAAAAAATAAATCTTAAAAAAAAATGAAGTGTAAAAACCCACATGTTGTCAATACTCTGAAATCACTTTTAAAAAGTGGTGGCAAAAAATTCAAACATAAAATTCAACTTAAGAGTGAAGAGCCAGGTACTACTGTCAGCTGGTAAGTAGCCCAGTAAAGGCAAGAAATGCAGATTTGTTGGCATTTTCTGGCTTTTCTAAGTGTGTCATTTTGAATATAATTGCTTAATATCAGATCCCCAATGTTTTAATCTGTAAAATAAAGATAATACCTGTTCTGCATATCGCACAAGGGTGCTGTAAGCGGTAAAATCGTTAATACAAGAACTTTGCAAATATAAAATATAATAGTAGTGATTCAGTTAAAATAAGAACTTACATGGAGTAGATAACAATATTCTGAGGTTACAGAAATTTTCCTAAATTTTCATGGCAGGACAGGGGGATGGAGGAAAGATCACAAGGGAGAAGGGAATGTCAAAGCAGTCAAGAACATTCTCCAAAGCAAGCTAACCATCCTTCTTCCTGTCTAGATACCTGGCATGCCTTTCAGTAAGTCCTCTCCCATCTGAATGCTCATCCTAAATCTCCTAAGTGTTTTGAGACAAAGTAAGTATCTGTCATCTTCTCTATTCAAAGCCTTTTTTACCTGTATTTATAGATACAGTCTAAATCTGACTGCAAGGTCTTTAAAAACCCAAGCACAGTTTTAGCACACCTTAAAGTGAGAAAAACACAAGTACAAATTTCAGGTTTCCATTCACTTGAATTTTACTTATAATAGTAAAATCCATTAAATAGTATCCATGAGGGCCTCCCTGGTGGCGCAGGGCTTACAGATAGTACTATCACGCTATCGCCAGCCACTGCAGCACGAATTTGATCCCTGGCCTTGCCAGGGAGCTACCTAAATGGCACAGCAGACCTCTCCTGCCTTGCCTGCTGCCCCCTCAGCAATGTATTTCAGTAGATCTGCCTGTTCTGTTTCCCACTCTGTCTCTGGTGAATCTTCTCACCCCGCACCTCTGGCTTAAACCCCAGTCCTTGTATGCATAAATAAATAAATCTTTTTTAAAAATAAATAAAATAGTATCCATGAGATTTCTGCTTTGATTACTTGAAATACTGAAATAGTTTCAATTCTACCATTCCTCACTGACCCTCTGGGAGATTTAAAATTTTTAATCTCAATTTTTTACTTGTAAAAGAGACAATCAGATCTACTTTCAGAATGTTTGGAGGTTTAGTTGAAAATTACCTTTCTGAATTCCGCAGGGTGGGGGTGATAAATAATTTCCATGTTGTACTAAAATTATTAGAAGAAAAAATATCTTTCATTACTTGTGAATGTTTGGAAAAACAAAATTTACCTTAGAGGACTCGCAAGTGATGTTGAGATTCCAGAAAGGACAGAGTCTGTCACACTGAGGACACATTATGATCTTGCCACCAATATCAGGATCACAAACTTCTTTGCTAAAGAAAAGAAAATCTAGTTATAAAGATTTGAATGAAGAGAACTTTCTACTAGTCTGGTAAGATCCAACATCCATTCAAGATTAAAAAAACTAAACTATATTCTTATAAAAATAGGAATAGAAGTCAATTTCATTCACCTGGTAAATGATAAATGCTTCCTACATATATATTCCTACATATTCCCAAATGCTTCCTATCTGTAAAAATACAGTTAGTGGTAAAATGCTGAAAATATTTCCTTTACATCAGAAAGAAGACAAAGGAAGGCTATAACCACTTCTTTTCAACTGGAAGTTCTTGACTGTACAATATAAATCACCAAAAAAAAAAAAAAGAAGTAACTCCCTGATGGTGCAATGGGTTAAGATGCAGCCCTATGAAGCTATCCACAGCCAATGCAGCACAAGTTTGATCTCTAGCCAGGAAGGCACCCACATGGTGTAGCAGGCCTCTTCTGACTCGCCTGCTGCTCCCCTCAGCAGCGTATTTCAGTCAGTCTGCCTGTTCTGTTCCCCACTCAGTCTCTGATGAATCCTCTCAACCCCCACACCTCTGGCCTGTACCTCAGTTCTTGTATGCATAAATAAATGCATCTTTTAAAAAAAAGACAGGAGGGTTAGTAAGGAAGAAAGGAAAATGCTACTTCTAAGAGGTCACATTATCGTCTACACAGACAGTGCACTAGAACTTAGAAAAATTATGAAAAAAAGTGACATTGGTAAATTTGCTCAGAAACAAATTGACATAGAAAATATATATAGGGTGACAAAAAAGAACTATGTGCCTATGGACTTGCAATAATTAGGACTTTTTTAAATGCCATTTCTCAATACCTTAAAAAATAGAGTCTAGGAATAATCAATTCAAGACGTATAAGATTTATATAGACAACACAGTAAAACTGCTCTGAAAGAGTGAACAAGCCTCTTAAATGAATACATTACCATGCTTGTAATTTGGAAAAAATCAATATTTAAGTATGTCATTCTACCCCATTTGAGCTGTAAATTCAATAAGAGAGAAAAGGACTCTGAATAGTCAAAACATTAAAGAACGAGGTGCTACTGGCACTGGTTAAGAAAAATTGAGCAAGAGAACAAAATAAAGAGCTCAGAGAGAGAGACTTGTGCATTTACAAAACCTTGATTGGACTGCCCAGCAAATCAGAAATGTGAGATATGGCATTTCAGTTCATGGGCCAGTACAATGGAATATTCTTATGAAAAAGCATGAAATTGAGCCCCTAAATCTTACAGAAAAATTAAATCAATTCCAGGTGTTAAATGAGAATGCACCACTACCAACTTATTAGGAAAAAACACAGGAAAATATCTAGATAACTTAGTAGTAAGAAGAAATTCCATAAATGAGAAACCCGAAGAAAAGTACTATTTAAAAAAAAATTTTTAAAAGATTTATTGATGCATACAAGAGCTGGGATACAGGCCAGAGATGTGGGGGAGGGGTGAATGGATTCACCAGAGACAGAGTGGGGAACAGAACAGGCAGACTGACTGAAATACGCGCTGAGGGGAGCAGCGGACGAAGATTGGAGAGGTCCACCTCACCACGTGGGTTGCTCCCTGGCCGGCCGGGGATCGAACTCGTGCTGCAGAGGCTGCGGATTGCTTCGTAGTATGGTGCTTAACCCCCTTTGCCACCAGGGAGGCCCATATTTAAAAAAAAGTTTCAAGTGAGACCATTACTAAAAGAACATGTAGAGAGTGGGGAAAAACTAGCTCCAAACTGGTAGAAATTTTGCAACACTTAAAAATAACAAGGAATATACACCAGAGTATTTAAAGAACTCCTACAAATTAATGAGAAAAAAAAACAAAACAAAAAACTAACAGTAGGTAGCACAATACTCCCACAGAAATCATTCCAATGTACTCAGGCCAAGGGGCTACAGTTGTGTAATTTGTTGGCCTTGCAAATAACTCAAATAAAAACAATGGGTATAGCAGTTCTGAAATATCAAGTAGATATCTCATATCTACAGATATGATAAAGATGTCACAAATTCTATTCCCTCACAAAAGTCCCAAGAGAACACTGACAAAATTTGTTAAAATTAATCTCTGGATAACTGTGGAAATTAAACAAAGGCTTACAACAATCTGAGGAACAGTTGAGGGAAAAAAAGGCTAAATCTGTAAGATTTGTCAGCTTGTGACATTTTAACTTGACCTGTCTTCATCTCCATGTACTCAGCCTCATGGCAGCCTTAAAAATTTAACTTTGTGGTGAGTGTGGTAACATACATCCAAAGAGGTGTGATTCTACCCCTCTGAATCATAAACATTATTGTAAATCAATGTTACATCCTTACAAACATAATCACCAGCATCACAACCGTGGTGACCAGTCAGTTGCTGAAGGAGGCAGATGTGATCTGAAGCTACCTAAAAGCTCCACCCCCAGAGAAATGTCACTTTTTATCAGCTCCCTAGGTAAACTCCATCCTCAGAATTTGTCTTTTGACCTATCTCAGAGTTTTCACTGTGTAAACAACTCCATTCCCAGGGTGTGTGTTAAAAGTAATTAGCAGGAATTATTCAATACTGCAATTGCCTGAAGCAGTGGTACGAGATGACCTCGAAAGGGAACCTTGAAAGGAAAAACTGGGGAATGAGTGGTGCGTAGGGAGACTTAAAAAGCTCCAACAAATTCCTTGGATTGTAGAAGGTCATGTGCAAATGTAGGACAGTGCACATGGCTAGGAAAAAAACTTGAGAAAACCTTAATCCTGCACCCCTGATTGAATTTGATCTTCTGTATAAGCAAGAAGTAAAGTCTAAGGAGGAACTCAAGGTGCTCGCTGGAGTGCTGAAGACATTCCAGCACACAAACTCAGACCACTTGGCAGTGGCTCAAAGAATGATTGGGTCCAGGAATTGAAAGAAATCACTGTCTAATCAAGAGGAAACAACTAGGCATATTGAACACTGGCTTCAGTGTCTATCCATGATAAAGAATACAGACTTTAAAGAATTAGTGCAGAAATGTAACTAAATGAACAGCAGCAGCAGGAATGAAGCAATAACAAACCCTAAAGAGAGGGGGAAATCTGATTTCTGGATCTGCCACCTTACATAATATTTCAAACAACCAGTTTTCAATGGAAAAATACAAGATACTCAAAGAAACAGAAAAGTATGGCCATAACATGGGGGGTGGGGTGGGGGGGGAAGTCAATGGAAACTGTTCCTGGCAACACTCAGACATTTGCTTTATAAGATAAAGACTTAAATAAGCAAGTAAACATGTTCAAAGACTAGGACCTACATCTGAAAATTATAGAATGCAAACATCTCACAGTATAAAGACCATCAACAAATAAATATTATTAAAAAGAATCAAGTAGAAATTTAAAAGGATAACTAAAATAAAAATATCACTAAGGAAAATAAAAATAAAAATAAAAATATCCTCTGCAGATATGAACTAGCTAGATCTATTGAGATGATTCAACCTGTTGAACAGAAAGAAAAGTAATGAAGAAAAATGAACACAGTCTGAGAGACCAGTAGAATGCCAACAAAACCATTGTACACATAATAAAATCTCCAGAAGAAAGGAAGAGAAAGAAAAAGGGAGAAAGAATATCTGAAGATTTAATGGGTGAAATCTTTACAAATTTGATGAAATTATTCATCTATGCATATAAGAACCTCAACAAACTCCAAGGAGGATAAATTCAGACACCCAAACACAGGCAGATCAGAATCAAAGTGTCAAAACAAGGACAAAGTGAAAATCACGATCGCAGAAAAAGAAAAGTGCTTCAACATGTACTAATGCTCCTCAGCAGGATAAATAGCTGACATCTCATTAGAAGCTATGGAGGCTAGAAGAGAGTGAGATTATAAAATCAAAGTGCAAAAAGGGAAAAACCGTCAAACAAATGCTCTCTATCCAGGAAAACTATCCTTTAAAACTATAGGAGCAATTAAGGTTGCTAGATTAGTATAGCCTGAAAGAATCCATCGATAGCAGACCTGGCATACAACAAAGACTAAGGTTTAAATGAAACCCACCTGAAGAAATAGAGTACTGGTAGAAGCAATTACATAGGTAAATTAAAAAGACAATGTAAATATGCTTTTGCATGTAATTCTTTTCTTCTGATAAAATAGAGAACTATGATAAAATAGAGAACTATGAGTGAAAAAATGCTTGACAAAATACTTGCAAATCAAATGCAGTAACATATAAAAAGGATCATGACCCAGTCATGATCATGACCCAAAAATCAGTTCAAGTGAATACTTAATACATTAATGGACCAAAATTTGGTATAGAACTTCCTCAAATCTAATAAAGAACATCTATGAAAAATGCACAGCAAACATTATATTTAATGGTGAAAGACTTGAAAGTTTTCCTCTAGAATCAACATTGTACTGAAGAGTCTAGTCAGGGCAACTAGACAAGAAAAAACCCTCTAGATTAGAAGGGAGTAAGTGAAACAATTTATATTCCAGGTGACATGAAATTTATACTAAAATCCTAAAAAAAATGCACCAAAAACCATAAGGTAATAAGTCAGTTCAAAAAGGTTATGAGATACAGAGTAAATATACAGAGTAATTATATTTCCCTATACTAGCAGTGAATAATTCAAAAGTGAAGGAAAATAATTTTATTTATAATAGCATCAAAAAGAATGAAATACTTAGAATAAAGTTGAAAAAGGAAGTGCAAAACTTGTACACTGAGGACTATAACATGTTGTTAATAGAAATTAAGGATGAGCAAATAAATGGTAAGGCATTCTATGTTCACTCATGGACCAGAGACTTAATATTATTAAGATGTCAATAGTCCAACAGATGAACTACAGAGACAAAGTGATTCTATCAAAATCCCAGGAATGGAAAAGTTGTGGGATATGGAAATATAAGGGATCCAGAATAACCAAAACAACTTTGAAAAGTAAAACAATTTTCGAATGTTCCAAAATCAAAACTTGCTGCAAAGTTACAGTAATCAATATGGCATAATTCTTGCATAAAGAACAGACACACAGATCAATGGAAAGGAGCTCAAGTCCATAATCAAACTCATACATTTATGGCCAACAGATTTTTTTTAAAAGATTTTTATTTATTTACACAAGAGCCGGGGTACAGGCCAGATGCGTGGGAAGGTGAGAGGATTCACCAGAGACAGAATGGGGAACAGAACAGACAGACTGGCGAAATACACTGCTGAGGGGAGCAGCGGGCCAGACAGGAGAGCTTGGCTGTGCCATGTGGGATTCTTGCAGGCCAGCCAGGATCGAACCCGCACTGCAGAGGCTGTGGACAGCCTCACAGTGCAGCTCTCAACCTCCTGCGCCACCAGGGAGTCCCTGGCCAACAGATTTTTGACAAGAGTACCAAGATTATCAATAAGCGAAGACACCATGATATACACCTGGGAAAAAACAAAGTTAAACCCTTACTCACACTAGTTTTAAAAATTTAACTCAAAATGATATTAGACCTGTAAAACTCTTACAGGGTAAACACTAAGAAAATCTATATGATTTTATATTATAAATGTTTCTAAGATATGACACCAAAAGCATAAACATAAGGAAAAATTTAGGTAAATTCGAGCTCACTAATACTAAAAACTTTTGTGCTTCAAAGGACCCATCAAAAAAGTAAAAAGACACAAGCCTCCCTGGTGGCGTAAGGGTAAGACTTGATGCTATCACCATGAAGGCCTGAGTTTGATCCCTGGCCAGGGAGCTGAACCACTTAGGGTGCAGCAGGCCTCTCCTGTCTTGCCTGCTGTTCCCCTCAGCAGTGGATTTCAGGAGATCTGCCTGTTTTTTGTTTTTTTTTTAAAGATTTTATTTATTTATTTATTTATTTGCGCAAGCACTGGGTACAATCAGAAGCGTGGGAGGGTGAGAGAATTCACCAGAGCCATAGCAGGGAACAGAACAGGCAGACTGATGAAATACACTGCTGAGAGGAGCAGTGGGCGCGGCAGGAAAGGTCTGTCACGCCATGTGGGACCCTCACCATCAGTCGGGGATTGAAACGGCGCTGCAGAGGCTGCGGGCAGCTTCGCAGCCCAGTGCTCAACTGCTAAGCCATCAGGGGAGGCCCAAGATCTGCCTGTTCTGCTCCCCACTCTGTCTCTGGGGTATCCTCTCACTGCACCTGTTTCCCCTCAGCACCTCTGGCCTACATCTCAGTTCTTGTATGCATAAATAAATAAAAATAAATCTTTTTTAAAAAAAAGTGAAGACAGTCCACAAAATTGGAGAAAATATTTGCAATGTATTTGAAAAGGAACTTTTTATCCAGATATATCAAGAACACACAACTCAACCATAAAAAGACATATAACAAAATTCAACTGGGCAAAGGATTTGAATAGACATTTCTGCAAAGAAAATATAAAAATGGTAAACAAGGACATAAAAAAAGTTCAACTTCAGTAGGTTTAGGGAAATACAAATCAAACCCACGATGATATACTGCCTTCATCTCCGCTAGGATGACAAATGTAGGAAACAAAACCAAATACTCAGGAATTGCAATGCCGAGGAGAATGTGGAAAAAATTGGAAACCTCACATATTGCTAGTGATAATAAAATAGTCTATTTACTTTGGAAAACAATTTGGCAGTTCCCCAAAATGTTAAACATAGTTACTATATATCCCAGCAATTCCATCTTACATTATATTCTCAGGAAAACTTAAAATATCAATTCACACAAAAACTTTTACATGAAATGTTCATAACAGAATTATTCTCAATAGTCAGAAAGTACAGACAACCCAAATGTTAACAATGAATATATTTTACTGTATTTAAAAGTATATATAATATACAAATATATGCCATATATGTAAAAATATATATTTTATTATAGGTAAATTGGAGCTCACTAAAATTAAAAACTTTTGTGTTTCAAGGAACACAAATAGTTATTATTTTAAATATATTTAACATAGTTATGTTTTAATATTTAGGTATTTAATATTTTAAATATACTATTTTAAAATATATACAAATATAATATATACAAATATATTTCACTCCAAAATATATTTAACATTTTATAACATAATATAATGTATAAAAATATATAAATATATTACACTCCCAATATATTTAATATTTTAAAATATTTAATAATTAAAGCTTAAATAGTCTTGAGCATAGGAAGTAGATCCTTAATTTTCTGTAAATTAAGCTGTGTGACAAAATAGTACGAAACAGTGATTTTATGAATTATAATGAGAAGCACCTTGCAAGAGACTGATAAAACCCAAGTTTTATATTTTGAAAGTGTATTTTTGAGATGTCTTTATTTTGTCTGGAAGAAAACACAAAGCAGTGGAAAGTTTTGGTAAAAAGTATCAACATCAGCCTCTGGCCTTAAGCTGAGTTGCGGTGGAAAGGAGAGAACTTCCAAGGCCATCTGCAGCTTTCTGGCAGAGAAACCACAGAGGGTGCAGCAGTCTGGGAATCCTGTGTCAGGTGAGAGGGTAATCGTGCCTGTGCATCGGGGGCTGCCTGTAGCACCTGCCTCAGGTGTCAGGCTGAGATGTTTGGGGCTACAAAATTTTGGTCAACAGCTCATTGCTGGTGCCCAGAAATTTTGATCTGCCTGTCACACCTGGATAGAGGCCAGATAACCTAGAGAAGACGCCTTATTCAGTACTGCAAATGCTTCTGGAGGCTGAGGGCACCAAAGGCAGAGGGAGAATAACAGCCCAGAACAAATATCATGATGTTAAGCATGTTCTGGCACCCGAGTATTTCCCTTTAGACAGTGCAGCTGGCTTGTGAATTCCAACATCAAGCACGAGCTAATTCACTATCATTCGTTTTTTGCTCCTGCCATTTTATGGGTTATTTTTGAAAGCAAAATAGATAAGCAAACAAAATGAATACTGTTTGCTTGAGTTTTTAAATACATATTTCTTAAATATTAAGAGGTCATTTCTAAAAGCAGAACGTCAAGTTTACTAGTTTTGCCATTAAAACGCTGAAGAAATCAGAGCTGCTCTTGGCCCACATTCACAGGGCTGAGAGGCACTGCTCTGGAGGCCAGAAGTTCAAGGACAATCCTCTCTCCAGTTCTCCTTTCTTATTCAAAGTATTGTCTTAAAATATTGAAGTGTTTCCTAAGGGTGATATTCTGGACAAAGACGAGGCTACATGATCTAACACAATTCTTTTTTCCCATTTCAATTGGTTACTGTACTAAGAACAAAAATGATAGATCATCCAAAGCAGTAGGGATTCTGCAATGAGGGGTGTCCCTGGTGGCCTAGGGGTTAAGTCTCAGCACTATCACCACCAAGGTCTGAGTTCCATACCGGCCAGGGAGCTGACCCACATGGCACAGCAGACCTCTCCTGTCTCATTGGCTGCTCCCCTCAGCAGTTGATCTGCCTGTTCTGCTCCCCAACTCTGTCTCTGGCGAATCCTCTAATCCCCACACCTCTGGCCTGCACCCCAGTTCTTCTATGCAAAAATAAATAAATAAAGAAATAAAGAAATAAATAAACGAATGAATGAATGAATGAATGAATAAATAAATAAAAAAGAGTTTAGGGCCTCCCTGGTGGCCTAGGGGTTAAGTCTATTACCCCTATAGCCTGAGTTTGATCCCCAGCCAGGGAGCTGACCCTTATGGCGCAGCAGACCTCTCCTGTCTTGCCCGCTACTCTCCTCAGCAGTGGATTTCAGTGGATCAGCCTGTTCTGCTCCCCACTCTGTCTCTGGTGAGTCCTCTTACCCCCTGCACCTCTGGCCAACCCAGCATTTCTTCTACACAAAAAGAAAAAAATTCTGCAATGAATATTCTTTCATTGAAACACTGATCAACTTTTCCATTTGGAAATAAGCAAAGCAGGGGTTACCTCCACGTGCAGTTGTTTTGATTGATCAATCCATAGAGGAAGCAGGCCAATCCCACCACTGCAGCCAGGAGCAGCATCTTAGTGTAATAGCCCAGCCAAGCAAAATAGATTCCAATTTTCTCTCCATAATATTTCCTGAAGAAAGACAGAAATAATTTTAGAAGACATAGTCTCTCTGCAGCTTCAATAACTTCTGATTTTAAATGAAGGAGGTTTTCAGCTTAAACCTCTGACTTCATACACACTTAGAACACACTCGTTTTCAGAGCCGGCCCCACAGTCCACATCGCTGGCTAGCCTGTTGAAGCAAAGTGAGTTAGAAGAGAGCAAAGGAGGAGAGCAAAGGGAAATGCTGACTAGCATGAGATAGCCATGATTTTTTTGTGAAGACCAGCACTTCTTACCTATTCTCCAAAAAATTATTCTTAATATGTATGAAAATAATGTACATGGAACAGTCTGCCCAGTACCCACTTGTGCTTATTCTAGGGAATGTCAGAGGAGGAATGTCAATGTCAGTTTACGTATAACGTAAACTACAAACAATAACAAGAAGCTGATCCTAATAATAATTAACAATGGAATTTCCCTCTGACCAAAATATTTTAAGAACTCATTGTAAGAATGAGAACAGGAAGGATAAATGTAACTGAGGAGCCACACACCCTGTATTTCCCAAACCCAGCACTTCTGTTTTGTTTGTTTGTTTTAAAGATTTATTTATTTATTTATACAAGCACTGGGTACAGTCAGAAGCGCGGGAAGGTGAGAGAATTCACCAGAGTCAGAGCGGAGAGCAGAGCAGGCAGACTGAGGAAGTAAACTGCTGAGGGGAGCAGCGGGAGGCAGGAGAGGTCAGCGTGCCATGTGGGAACCTCACCCGGTGGCTGGGGATGGGCTGGGGATCGAACCGGCGCTGCAGAGGCTGCGGGCAGCTTCGAGCCCAGCACTCAACCGCTGCGCCACTGGGGAGGCCCCACTTCTGTTTTTGTTATGTGGTATCCTCTGGGGTCAAAAGGAGGAGGCCAGGCAAGCAAGATTAAAAGAAAGGCAGATTGGGCCTCCCTGGTGGCCTAGTAAGTGTCAGCACCGTCACCGCTACAGCCTGAGTTGGATCCCTGGCCAGGGAGCTGACCCAGATGTTGCCGCAGACCTCTCCTGTCTCCCGGCTGCTCCCCTCAGCAGTGGATTTCAGTCAATCTGCCTGTTCTGCTCCCCTCTCTGTCTCTGGTGAGTCCTATCACCTCCCCACTCCGCCTGCACCTCTGGCCTGCACCCCAGTTCTTGTATGCATAAATAAATAAATTTAAAAAAAAAAAAGAAAGGCAGGGCATAAAATGGTGCCCGACTATTCAAGAAAAATACAGTTAGGGAAAGGGCAAGCGCTTACAGGTGAGGAGAAAACAATGAGATGATTAACTTAGGTAACTACTGTTCTTGTTGGACTGATTCACTTCTGGTTCGGTGTGGGTTGGAACATCCTTGCAGATTTTTCTAGCTGTGGCCTGTGGTATGGTGCTGAGCTGAACTCTTAGTCTCACCCTAGTGAACTAGGCTCTGAGAACAACCTGGAAACCTGAGACACTTTGGGCTGGGCCTTTGCCCAGCATCAAAGAGCATCTATGAGACTAGCCCCATGGGCTAAAGGCCTGGGAGTAGGCCACAGCATGGGAGAAGGGTGGTTTTGGAGAAAGGAAGTGAGTCCACATTCATAGGAATCAACTCTGCTGTCGGGTAAATGAGTCAGGGTCCAGGAGAGACAAGACCAGCCAAGGCCTTAAGATGTCATGGGTTCCTTGCTTTAATGCTCGCTGCAGTACGTTCTAATCAACCATCCACCCTGGAAATGCCACAGTAAAGACTGGAAAGGATGTTAGAAGTTTCATGACCGCCATCATGAACAGGAACCGCATGGCTGCTGGTAACTGGGGGCATGGACAGGTTTAAGGGCCAGTTTGGGGCCACGAGATGAGCATCAGGCCCAGGTCCTGCCTGCCCCGAGTGCACAGTCAAGGGCCAGCCCAGACCTCACTGTAGTTGGGTCTAAATGCACAGGCTGGGGTTTCCCTTCTAATCTGGCGCTAGAATGGAACATGGCCAAGCTGGTCTGTGCTGCACTGGCACCAAGCAGTGAGGTCTGAAAAACAAGTCATTCAGGCTTGAAAGGCAGGCGCTATAAGCCTCAGCTCCATAGGGCTGGGTTTCATTCTGACCTGCAGATTCTGACCTCTGACACAGACTGTCAGGAAGGCTCGTCTGGGCCTCCTGAGAGGGCTTCAAGACCCTGCATCTTCTCTGAACTTCCAACTTTACTCAGCCTGACACTGCTGCCGCTTCTGGTCCTGCTGCCCATGTCACCTGCTGACGGACACTGCTGGCCTGTGGCCCTGGGCTGGGCCTGGCATCACTAAAAGGTGGTCAGCTCACAAAAGGGCTGTATCCTGGCACCATCAGCATGGCTGACTGTGTCCAGCCATCTTTGAGAGCTGCAGTCACTGTCGCTTCACATCCTCCAGCACCGTCTCCTGTTGCTGTGGCCTCTGGCGCTGTCTGATCCATGTCTGGCACTGGCCAGCCCGGCCTTCAAACAGATGTTGCCAGCTTCTGTGGTGGCCCCTCTGACTGACACTGAGTTGAATTTCAGCTAGTTCCAGGCCCTCGTGAAAAGGACAGCGCCATCTTGCACAAGTGGCCTTGGTTTGGGACCCTGGACACTGAGGACACTCTCTGGAGTGAGACAGCTGACTACTTGTGGCCTCAGACACTCTCCTTTTTCCCAATCTCCCTGTTGTTAAAAGCCCCAATGCTGTTGTACCCTGAGCCTGAGCGGGGTCTTGCCATTGTGAGCACATGGCTGAGGACCCACACATCTGTCCCCCACAGCATCTGGGTGTTGAAGTTCACTCTGTTTTGATCATGAGAGTAGGAACATCCTGCTGCATTTAGAGGGTGGCTTCTGCTTGGATGTCTGCAGCGGCAGGGTGTTCGTTACTTCAACCCTACAGGTGTGAAAATCAGGAGGAATTTTTAACTTACACAGAAGCCACCCTTCTTATGCTTGCTGAAAGACTGGAAATAAATAATGAAGGTCCCTTCTGATGTGGTATTTGCTGATCATTGTCCCTTTCTACCAGAAATATCCCAATTCGTGTGTGTGTGCATGTGTATGTGTGTGTAGAAATGGGGAGTAGGCCATAGATGCAAGGGGATGAGAGGATTCACCACAGACAGACTGGGGAGCAGAACAGGCAGATCTACTGTAATCCACTGCTGAGGGGAGCAGCAGGAGAGACTGGAGAGGTCTGCTGTGCCATGTGGGTCAGCTCCCTGGCCGGGGATTGAACTTCGACTGTAGCAGTGACAGTGCTGAGACTTAGCAGGCCACCAAGGAGGCAGACCCCAACATTATAACCAACAAAAGCTGGTTATTTACACCAAGTTTTAAAATTTCTATTTTGACTTTCTATCAAAGTTATAAGGAAACATTCATTAAAGAGTCAGATAGCTCTAGAAGATTGAGGAGCAATTCCCAGGAACTTACCCCATTTCCTGCAGCCCAGAAACAACCACTTTTAATTCTCAAATGGATTCCTTGACTTTTTACCTCCATTTCTCAAAACATCACTCTGGTAGTATCACTTATTGATTTCTGCAATTTTATATCTCATCCACTGACTTTCTACTTTGAAAGATGAAGATTCAACTCTTTCTTTTTTTAATTTTTTAAACATTTTTTACATCATTGTTAATTTTTAAACAATATTTGCTTTGCCCCACCCCCTCAGGTGTAGTCCCCATAGAGTTTCCTTCACCAATGCACCCGAGCACCATCACCTCAGTCCCCTGTGTGCCTCCCGCCCTCCCTGTGATCCCACTCCGGCCTCCTCCCCTGCAGAACATCTCTGGTTTATAATTGTCTGTTTTTGCTTTGCTGTGTTTTGTACTGTTATTATTTTTTTTACATTGTCTTATTTGTTTCCCCTATATTCCTGCTCTAAGTGAAAAACATCCAATATTTTTCTTTTTCCTTCTGGCTTATTTCACTGAGCATAATTCCTTCTAGTTCCGTCCACCTTGCTGCAAATGGCATGAGTTTATCTTTTTTGATTGCTGAATAATATTCCTGTGTGTGTGTGTGTGTGTGTGTGTATTCCATTGTGTGTGTGTGTACATCTTCTTGATCTAGTCATCTATTTCTGAGCATCTGTGTTGTTTCCAGGTTTTACCTATTGTAAATAGTGCTGCAATAAACATAGGGGTGCAGGTATTCTTTTGAATCAATGTTTTTGTGTCCTTTGGGTAGATCCCTAGGAGTGGAATTTCCATGTGGTGGTCCAGTTTTCCCAGCACCACAAATTTTGTGCAGAAATGTGGTGCTCGAAAAACTGGACCACCACATGCAAAAAAATAAAACTAGACCATGACCTCTCACTGTGCACAAAAATAAACTCAAAATGGATAAAAGAACTGGACATAAGACCTAAAACCATAAAATACACAGAAGAAAATATAGGTAAAACACTACAAGACATACAGCTCAAAAACATCTTCAAAGACTCATCACCCAAAGCAAAGAAAGTCAAGAAAAAGATAAACACCTGGGATTATATCAAACTGAAAAGCTTCTGTACAGATTCAACTCTTTCAATCCTGTCCTCCTCACATCCACACCTCCATTCCTCCCACCCTTTTGACATAGTTACATTATAAAATTATAAAGCAATATCCTTGCTTTATATTAGTGTGGCTCCTGGAAGACTATTCACAGCGGAATGAAGTTGGCTTTGCTTAGCTTTTTCTTTTCTGCCCAATATTTATTTTTGTTGGAGTTAGTATTTGTTTGGTGGGTCACTACTTAGTTTTCTGTTCATTCAACCCCAGATTCTCCCCTAACCTGTAAATTTCCTGGTATTTTAAGGGAAACTTTTCCCTTTTTTCTCTTTAAAATCCCTCAGGCTGTTCTTTCTGGTTTGCTTTTTGTAAAAGAACTCATTTTCCTTTCTGATAATTCCTGGGAACCACAGATGAAGATTTTATAGCCTAGAGGTTCAAGGGTTATGGATGAGAAACAAAGGAGGGAATGTATGGACCAGGGGCAGTGAATAGCTAGTTGTATTTTCCTTAGTAAAGTCTACTTAAAAGAGTGGGTAAGTTATTTTCTTTACCAAAAAATGCCTTAAAGAATGATCAAAACCTATCAAATCCATAGATCTGTCATCACAACCTATGGGTTTAAAATAATAGGAAAGTGTTGACAGGGAAAATCTCATGTGAATGTCAACTTCAATATTACATATATAAACATCTTAAAATTTTATTACACAGGATAATCAGAGTGAGAAAAAGTGATTGTAATTTGTGATTGTAATCTGGTTAATAAATGAAGCAAGAAATTAGAGTATAACTAAATGATATGAAACCTGTAATGAAATAATGAATATATGCAATGAATATTATGGTTGCTTTTATCAAAAACGAGAGACAGGGGCCTCCCTGGTCACCTAGGGGTTGAGTCTCAACACTCTTATGCTACCGCCTGAGTTTGATCCCCAGCCAGGGACCTGACCCACTTGGCACAGCAGACCTTTCCTGTCTCACCCACTGCTCCCCTCAGCAGTGAATTTCATTTGATCCACCTGTTCTGCTCCCACTCTGTCTCTGCTGAGTCCTCTCATTCCCCCCTAGCACCTCTGGCGTGCACCCCAGTTCTTCTCTGCAAAAACAAACAAACAAACAAACAAAACAACAGAACAAAACAACTGGACACTATGTGTCTTCTGATAGAAAACTACATAACTCCAAATATCAAATGTTCTTACATGAGGTCAATAGATCAATCATTTAGATAAAGATCAAATTACTTAGTTTAATCAAGCACATGGGACAGGGGACAAATCCAACATGGGACATGGGACATGGGACAAATCCAACATCATTACAGGGTAAGAAAAATCAGCAAAATAGAGAATGATGAAAATTTTCAACAATTTAAGTAAAACAAGAAACTGGGGAAACTTATGGAAAATATTTGAGTACAACATCTGGACCTTGTTTGGATTTCTGATTTGAACCAAAAAAACAAACAAACAAACAAAAAAAAACCCTACTGAAAATATTTTTGTGACAATCAGGGAAATCTGAATATTAATTATTTGATGAAATATTTTTAATGAATATTCTGGTTGTTTTTAAAAGACACCTTGTCATTTAGAAATAGATACTAATGCCAAGATATATTTAGCATTTTCTTCAAAATAGTTCAGGGTGGAGGGGAAGGAAAGGAGGTAGGGAAAAAGATGAAAAGAGACTGGTTATGAGTTAATACTTTTTGAAGCTGGGTTACAAGTATATGCACATTTGCTGTGCTGTTACCTCCACCTTGGTATATGTTTGAAATTTCCCATAGTAAAATGTAAAACAAAACAAAAACTATTCACTGTTTTAAAATTCTCTTTTAAGATTAATAGGCTTTTTCCAGTAGGTGGGAGCTTGCAAAAGACATGGAAACATAGTAGAAAGAGGAGGCACTAGGCTATAGTCAGATTTGGGGATACCCTGGCTCTCCCCTTCTTCTCATCCCCCATACCCAAGTCCTGTCAACTCTCCCCTAAAACATTCCAAATTGGCTCCCACAATCTCTCCTCTAGATCATTCTATCTGGTCTCCAGCTTCCTGTGGCCTCTGGAGCCCATTCTCATTATCATTGCAAAATTGGAACAAGATAAAATTCCTGGAATGCTTAAAATATCACAAATGCTTCTCATTGCACTTAAAGTCTAAATTCCTTTTCATGCTCCTTACATACTTTAAAGTGTTTGTCTCCTCATTCTCCTTCTAATTATCACTGGTCTTAGCTATTTCCTCAAGCCTCACAAGTGTATTTGTGCCTCATGGCTATGTACAGGCGCCCCCTATTCCTGGAATGACTTCTTTCAAATCCTTGAAATACTACCTCTTTTTACTGCAGGTCTCCGGTCCTAATTATCCTGCTGAAAGATTACTTTCCTGACCAACCAACCCAGCAGCCCCCTCCACTCCCCACTTGTCACTAATTTAATTATTGTTGTTTGGTTGGTTGGCCTTAGTCTACCTCTTTCCAGCATCCTCCCCTAGACCACCTGAACTTCTGCAAACCAGTCTAGTTGGTGCTTTTGTTAGGGGAAAAAGGATGTCCTGAGCTAATTCCATACAGGCTTTGTGGACTTCACCCCCACTCCAGACCAAAGCCATCAAGACATTGGGAAAGACAAATCCCATCACCACCAAAGGGAAGGTGGCTGGGACCTAAGGGTGGAGCTAAGCAGCCAGGTTTGGTATAAAAACCACACATGTGGGCCTTGGGGGCTGGCTCTTGCCTCTAGGTTACACGGCTGGCTCTTGGCTCACCGCCAGCTCTCAGAGTGCCATTTGGGTTCCAGATCGGCGGAACGGGTAGGACACATTTAAGACTTTATCTCCCACTTTTCTCCCTGAGTTGTACATTTCCTCATTTCCCCTTCCCTTGTGAATAAATCTTTTATTAACCTTTTGTATGTGCCTGCAGTGGAGTATTAAGTCCCTTTTAAGCACGCGGGTGAGGACCCACAGTCAGGCAACCCGTTTTATATCGGGGCTGCCCTGTAACACTTTGAAGACACAAATGCTGAATTAATCACTTTATCTCATTAGAGACAATAAAACAGTATCTAACAGCAGATACAGGAAAAGCGCGAGCATTTCTCTCTCACCACACAATTTACGCCAAAGTGAACATTTACTCCTGTGTAATGAAGGATTTGCTGAGTCTTTGTTGCCAGTTCCTGGGAGGTAACTCTAAAATCTTGGAATTTCCCTATATAGTACACTTGGTTTTTTTCAAGGTGGAAGCCTCAACTCCACCTGAGAGTTTATGACAATGGGGTGACTCTTGGTGAGTCCTCTGATAGTTTGGGAGGCTGTCCTTGGCAGAAAGAGTGGCCAGGTGACAGAAGACTGTGGCTTCGAGCCATGTGACATTGGAATGACCTTCATGAGAAGCAGGGGCTGGAGACTGTCATGTGAGCAAGGATTTTATCAATCACATCTGCGTAATGAAACCTCAATAAACTCGCTGAGGGCCTCCCCAGTGGCCTAGGGTTCAAGTCTCAGTGCTGTCACCTCTACGGCCTAAGTTGGATCTCTGGCCAGGGAGCTGACCTACAAAGCACAGCAGACCTCTCATGTCTGGCCCGCTGCTCCCCTCAGCAGTGGATTTCAGTAGATCTTTCTGTTCTGCTCCCTACTCCATCTCTGGTGAGTCCTCTTACTCTCACCTTCCATACCTCTGGCCTGTACCCCAGTTCTTCTAAGCACAAATAAATAAATAAAATATAAGTAAATAATCACACTGAACATTGAGCTCAGAGGGGTGGGGAAGCTTCCCCTGGGCGATACTCTGAGATGCGTGACACTTGGCTGCCATAAGCACAACCCGGAGTCCTGCCTCGAGTGCTCTCTTGGCGACAACACACCTGATGAGGTCCAAGGGCTGCTTTTTGTAGATGCTCCGGGGATGTGCCCACTCTCTATACAGCAGGAACCGTTCACTTGGGCAGCTGACGTCCTCTGAAGGATGGTTGAAGTTGCACTGGGAAGCAGAGGCAAACAAGTGAGCAACATACCCACCATGTGTTCACAGGTCTGTTTATTAAGTGCAGTCATTTGTATACCTGAATAAAGGGCCATAATTTGCTGGAAGGAATGGAAAGACAATCTGATGTTCAGTAATTCTCAACCAAGAGTATTACTAACCCCTTGGGGCATTTGTTAAGGCAAGTAGGGAGGAATGCTTGGTCGCTACCATCCTGGGGAAACACAGAACAGAGTGGATGACTGTCCAGGGATGCTTAAAGTCCTACAAGAGGGTAACTCAAGAGCAAAAACAGCCACAACAAAGGAACTTCTGAACTCCAGCTCCCAAGGCCTTGTAGGGTCATTCTGAAACCCAGACTTCTTTGTCCCCAGTTCAGCAGTTATTATGGGACAACATGTAGAATATAAACAACAAAGAGGAGTAACATCATTTACCCACTTAGCTTAGTCAAGAAATAAAAACATCCAGCACCTGCTTAAATTCAGCCATTCTTCATCCCATGTCCCTCAGTTTCCTTCCTTCTGGACTAGAACCAGATAATCACCCTTCCAGGCCATGACATGGGTCCTGACTTCAAAGCTATTCCTTGACCTGGATATGGGTCCACTGTAATTATAACAGGCTTTAGTGGAAAATAACTGTGCATGTGCAGATGTCAACTGAGTACTATCGAACTTTGCATCCCAGATTAAAATTCATGACTGCTCTGTACTAGTATCTCCAAAGCCCACGTTGCGTTATAATCGACAATTTTGCTGAGGCAAAAATATAAGACACAGGGACAGTTGTGTCTTGTAGCCAGGAAACTCAGTAGCCAGGAAGTTCAGCATCTGTTCTCCACCCACATCTCTTCACTATTTATGAACGTACATCAGTGGCCACTTAATGTCCCAGTTTTATTATTTCATACAGTGCATTTCAATTGTCTTCATTCACAAATACAGAGTAGCAATTATCAATCTCAGTCATTGCTTTCTTTGGTGGTCTTAGAGATTCAGATAAAATGACAGTGCATGTAGCAAAGTAACAGTGCAATATAATATAGTATTTATGTCAGTGAGAAAGTTTATTTGAAATAACTTAGATATCATATCCATGCCTTGTGGAAATCATTGAAGGGTCTGAAGCAGGCATATTTGAAATCAATTCATCTCTTAAGAGATGTTATCAGCTAGAGAAGGGCTCTTGAATATGAGGAGTTACTGTCACTTCAGAACGTAGTCCTTACAAAATGTCAGCCCTTTGCCATATTTTCATTGTGACAAGAACCCAACAGATGCTTTTTCAAAGCTTTGTGATATTCCAGGCAAAGTTTGAAGATGGTATTTGGATGGTGGGGGGCAGGAAAAGTATGTTATAGAAGATAACTGAGAAAAGTGACTTTTCTGGCTGATAAAGGTATCTGTCATTAACTATGAAAATAGTTAAGAAAATAATAGCCAAGGATTGTTAGAACATTTGACATGAATTGATTTTAAATTAATCCTCAGACCTCAATGAGGTAGATATTATTATTCCCACATTATGGTGAAGAAATGGATAGCAGAGAGGCTAAGTGACTTTCACTAGATCACCCAGTTAGAAAGAGGTAGTGTGGGCATTTTGACCCCAGAGTCTACACTCTTAACTGCTAATGTGCACCGTTTACATATGTGAATGCGAGAGCACCGTACACTCACTCATTTAAACTGAGGGCCCCTCTGTGCCTGAGATTCTGCAGAGGACAAAACCTGGTTCCTGCCCCACATGAATTTGCAGTTTTGCAGTGTTATCTTCATTTTACCAAAGAATCTTAATGTCAAGAATATTCGCCTTTCCCTATTAACACCCGAGTATACATTAAGTATTTTATTTTTACCCTTTGACTTACATCATGGAGAGGAAAAGCTGCCTTGTAGATGCCAGAGCTCACAAGTTTGTTAATCCCAAACTTCTTAACGTTATTGCTTACTTTATACTCGACCCGAGAGAGGATGAAGTAAACCTACAAAGATTCCAAAACAGAATGTGATTTATACAGTGAAACGAACCTATCATTGTTTCCTGTAGTAACATAAGGCTGTACCCACAGTTTCCTTTTTTTTTTTTTTTTGTAGTATTTGAAAGCAAAATTTAACCAAACTAGTAATTATTCAGCAGCAGATTCTCAAGCATCCAAAAACAGCCACTACATTTGTTTTAGACTTACAATTCGACTTCTGGTGGATGGATTGAAGAAGGTATCTTTATCTTGAATGTAAAAATCATTCATCCGGTTCTTCTCAAATGGGGCAGTGAAAAACTCTTGCTCTGGCTTGATGATATTCTCATTTACTCGGAGGACTTTGGTGAACCAGTTGAAATTAGTGAAGGGTGAAGACTGAGTTTTCAGATCGTTGGGCTTCAGAGGCAATTTAATGTGCATTATCTCAGCGTACGTACATAACACCTCCCATGGGGCATGTACTTTTACAAACACAAGCTTGTCATCTGCAACCTATATTGGACAAAAACACAAACCAGGAAACCAGATTTTTCTTAGGTTGCTGGTAGTTCAAATATATCCAGGTATTCGCATAAGAATAGGAGACCTGGTAAAGTGAAGATAAAATGAAACTAGATCTGCAAACTATGAAAGATTTAGCTTTAAAGGTAATTTCTCAGTTTGAACTATTGAAAAGGTAATCAATATCCTTATCATAGTTCTTTCATGAAATTACTTGGTTTTAAATAAAGAAAAACTACTTTGTTAATTTGCCCATTAATCCATGCAAATTAGTGATTAAAAATAAAAACTATAGCGTATTCATTGTTCTGGACAATTTTTAAATTTCTTAAACCTAAAAAGGGACTGTGTAATTTGTCACATATATGTTTAATATGTTATGTGGCCCTTAAAAAGATGTCAAAAAATTAATATAAAAACTTATTTACTATGTTAAAGGGAAAAATAAATAATTTAAATAATAGCTCCCTGTTTGGGAACAGAAAAATGTATATATTTGAACAAAAACGTTCAGAAGGACTATCATGTTATTTATGGATGATTAAGATACAGGTGACTGGGCCTGAGTTTGATCCCCGGCCGGGGAGCTTACCCACATGGCACAGCAGATCTCTCCTGTCTTGCCTGCTGCTCCCTTAACAGCAGTGTATTTCAGTAGATCTGCCTGTTCTGCTCCCCTCTCTGACTCTGGTGAATCCTCTCAGCCCCTGCATCTCTGGCCTATATCCCAGTTCTTGTATGCATAAATAAATAAACTTAAAAGAAGAAAATAATTAATGATATATGCATTCATTAATCCATTGTTGGACTATAAAAGAGAGGTGCTGGCTTTGATTGGAAATGAATACATATTCTATCATGCAGACTTTAATTGCCTCCCCTTTCCAGTCTACAACTAAGCTGAGGTTGGGGTTGCAAGTTTCCGACCCCACCCAGCCTCTCAGTGACATGCGGTTCCCAGGGTGAAGGCCAGCCAGGGGCTGGACAGGGATGGACACCTACCGATCTCGTTGCTTCAAGCTGCAGGCCGTCATTGATGAGGTTAGACTCATATGCTTGTCTTTTTCTCTGTCAAAAGAAATTGAAAAGTAAGTCAGGCCACGAGTTTCATCAAAGGCGAAAGAGAACTTTAAGAAAATGAAGCCAAACCAGTTTGAACCTGATGAAGAGACACAGAATGTCACAGAAGCAAAAGGTGGTATTGCTCTTTTAGATTGAGGGTACAGTGCAGGCTCCCCAGTCAGAAGGCTGTGGCACCCACCTAGTCCCCAAGTCCTCAAAGGTCCTGGCTGTCTCCAGGGTTCTCATCCATTTGTAGTGCCCAAGTCTCGACTTAAGCACAATTTCAAGGCCTTATTGGGTTTTGTCTTAACCTAAGTCTTGCACACAAATGGAGGTCTGGACATTCTGTGTATCATTTACCAGAGTGAATTTTTAAAATTTTATTTCAATTTTATTTCCATAGGAGATATCCAAAGAGTTTGATTTTGGAGGGAGGCATTTTGGCTCTGCATGTGCTGACCAAATGCAATAAAACAAACAGTATTGGCAAAATTTGAAGGAATGCTTTCTCTCTGAAATGTTCATGAAGGTAGAAACATCTAAATCTATAAACTATAAACTTGATTTGTTCATAATATTTCTCTCTGTGTTACATGTTCATTTAACAAAATGCAGAGTACACTGTGTTTATCGATCAGTAATTCTATCGGGTTTTGTCAAGCTGTGTGCTAAGTTATGGAGAAGCAAGTGAAGGTGGAGACTTTTTTCTTTTTCTTTCTTTTTTTTTTACTTTTTGCGGAGATGGGGTGTAGGCCAGCGATGGGAGGAATAGGGGGAGGTGAGAGGACTCACCGGAGACAGAGTGGGGAGCAGAACAGGCAGATCTACTGAAATCCACTGCTTAAGGGAGCAGCGGACTAGGCAGGAGAGGTCTGCTGTGCCCTATGTGGGTCAGCTCCCTAGCCGGGGATCAAACTCAGGCCTTAGCAGTGTTAGTGCTGAGACTCAACCCCTAGGCCACCAGGGAGGCCCGAAGGCAGAGACTTGACTGATGTCTTGAAAGAATGCTTTTGATGATGAAGCAGTTATACTGCTTGCTGAAAGCAAGAAAAGGGCTAGACAAGAAAAAGGCTAGAAAATCAGATGCCCATGTTCAAATTCTTGTTCCTTACTTATCCACTCCTTGATGCCTTGCAGGACACTTAAACTCTCTGGTCCTCATTTTCCTCATCACTAGTTTCCTTTTGAGGTTCTCCTGTGGAGTATGTGATTTAAATCACATAAAGCTTACATCAACTAGAATTGCTATTTTGAGGTCACAGGTTAACTGAACCAATTCTACTGAAGACAACTAAGAGGACCGGCTTAAAATTGTTTTTAAGGTCAGCAGTTAACAAGATAGAGAGGAATTGCTTAGTCAAGGCCTCACTAACCAGTGGTTTGGCAGGTGGGGGCGCATTCTGCCTAGGGAGCCCCATTTGTGATTTGCCAATTGTGAATGGGTAGAGGAGAAGCTGGGCTGCCATGTACAGTGCCTGGAGCATGGAAAGCACCTAGAACATGCTTCTGGGAAAAATGTGGAAGGTCCCAATGAAGGAATAATTTAGGAACAGAGGCCCCAAAACCTAAGTCCATTTATCAGCCTGACTGAGAAACAATCACAGACGAGGAGGGAGCACTCCCCCTTTCTATTAAAAATGGAATGTTCAGAACAGCAACATAATAGCACCATAGCAATGGACCAAAGCTGGTTTCAGAAAAGTAGGCTGGGTAACTTGGGAAAACTGAGTGGGCTTTGATAGCCTAGGAGACCCCACAGGCCCAGCCAATTAGCAAGAGACATACTAAGAGACACCCAAGGGCCAAACCCCCACTTTTTGCCCACTGTACCTATATAAGCACTCTTCTCACCTTCTCAGTAGTAGCTACCCATTGGGACTTCTCTCTGCTCAGGGAGTTTTCCTGTCCTTGCTCTTATCTATCAACAAATCTCTTGCTTTTCTGTAACTCTGGTCTCGACATTGAATTCTTTCCTCCCCAAAGATAAGAATGGAGGAAAAGCCGGCCTGGGGTCCTCGGACTCTCTGCCTGCTCCTTCCACACCCCCGATTCAACAAGATGAAAAAATACAATCCAAGGTCAAGTGGAACCCTTAACATATTTGTGGAAGACTCAGAAACAGAACATGCTGTAATTTTTTGTTTTTAAGATTTATTTATGCATACAAGAACTAGGGTGCAGGCCAGAGGTGTGGGGGTGAGAGGATTCACCAGAGACAGAGTGGGGAACAGAACAGGTGGATCTACTGAAATACACTGCTGAAGGGAGCAGCAGGCAAGTCAGAAGAGTCAGCTGCGCCATGTGGGAGCTCCCTGGTCAGGGATCAAACTCGTGCTGCAGTAACTGCAGATAGCTTCATAGGTTGCATCTTAACCCCTTGCTCCACCAAGGAGGCCCACATGCTGTAGTTTTATTTAACAGTTATGTAGCACTGATACCAGGTCCAGAACGATGCTTTTCTGAGTTGTGGAAATGTAACACATTTAATTACTTGCTACAATTTGAGTGTACAATAGTAACTCAAAGAAAAACCAGCCAATGCTATAATTCCTCTAAAAGCGAAGAAGCAACGCGCCTAGAAACGCCAGCACTAAAGGACATGGGAATCCTAAGGGGCAGCTTCCCCTCTGTTCTGCCTGCTTCCACCCCTACCCCCATCTCTGCAGGGACACTAAGCTTCTCTGCCCTTTCTTCTCCTGACCCCTGCCCTCCCATCCCCAAACTCATTGACTCAGATGGTCCTGGCATCCTGTTAAGCAGTTTTTCTTCACCCTGCCTCTTAATGCTCATATTTTAAATTTGCACCTAGTCCAGTCCTTGTTCCTCACTGTTTCATCCTTTACTACTAGGTAACAAGCATTTTCCAGACTGCAAAGTTCAACATAGAGCTTGGCACTGAGTATGAGCCACATACACGTTTGTTGAAAGAATATACTCAGATGTATTCATCTACAGACATTTCCTGAAAAGCATCCTGCAAAGTGCTAAAGATTCAAAAAAGAATTTTTTTTTTTTTTTGCGTAGAACTGGGGTGTAGGCCAGAGGTGTGGGGGGCAGGGTGAGAGGACTCACCAGAGATAGAACAGAAGCAGAAGAACAGAAGCAGTCGGGAGCAGCACAGGTGGATTTACTGAGGCGAGCAGCGAGCGAGACAGGAGAGGTCTGCTGTACCATGTGGGTCAGCTCCCTGGCCAGGGATAGAACTCAGGGCATAGCGGTGATAACAACGCTGAGACTTAATCCCTAGGGCTCCAGAGAGGCACCAAAGAAGAATGTCAAATAGCCCTACAGGAACTATAGAGAAACCTAGCACCCCATGACCTAGGACTTGCTCCCACACAGCAAGCCTGAAGTACTCATCCCTGTATCTCAAGGTTCTGTCCTGACGTCTGCTGTTCTTCAATGACCATTCTTGCCTTAGTGATGCTTGTCTTTTAATCTTGACATCCTGAGTACCTAGAGCAGGCCTCGGGCTGAATTAACCAGCCCTGGATGATGAATGAATGAGTCAGCTGAGTCGCCTGTGGATCATCGGTTGCCTGGTCCGTAGAATGAACTGCGGGTTCAAGTTACTGCTGCAGCCCAGTAACTGCGCTCCCTTGCCTGAACCCCTCCCCAAAGTGTTCATGAACTTTCACTTCTGGGCATCGAGGATAGGACAGTGAAGGAGCGGTATCATTTAATTATTTTCCAGTATCAGGTAGCTCAGGGGCATCCAGAAGATGAAGTGATTTCCAGACTCCTTGGAGACTGACTTATTTGATGACATGGGGATGGCCCGGAGCCCAGGACGAAGCCAGCCCTGGAGTACAGTCTGTCATCAAACACACAGACACACACTGCCCTGGTTTTGTAACAGGGGGTGTCCCCAGAAAAAAGGGGGTTTCCAGGTCCCCTGCCCAACCCAAAGGAGGGTGGAGCTGAGCAGGGAGGAGAAGCTGGAGAGGAGACTGGGGAAGGAGGGAAAGAGGATGAGGAGCCAGAAGGAGACCTGGAGGAGGCATGTGGAGCAGAGAGACATGTGAAGAAGCTGCACTTGCTTCTTGGTCCTGGACTGGTTGAAACAGACGTGGGTGAGAGAGTGGGTGAGAGACCCTTGGGGAGGTTAACAATGGCAGCATTTATTGTGATCTTGATTTTGCTCTTTTCCTTCCAGACTTGTCTGGAAATTTGTGCCATTGGGTCTCCGTGGCTCTGTGTTGGGCCAACCCTGTTGAGCTGGACATTTACCCAGGAGGGGATAGGTGACTTTGAGTGCTGGATTTGGAAACTACAGTCTTTCTGTCTTTGTTTCACACTAATTATATTACAGTTCATTTCCAATGAAGGTCTTATGCACTAGAGTATGTTTTGTTTGAATGTGGTGGATAGCAGAACCTATTTAGAACAGGCAGGTTTGGGGGCCCTGGGGGGCCCCATACCCTGCCCTATAACATTTTTTAGTGTCACACATCCAAATGAAGAGGCAACTCCAATCCACTTGGCCTCCACACCGCACCCTTTTGCCCCTTAGTCCCTCCAGTGGGACACCAATGACACCATCTTACTGGATCTCCAGAAAATGGGTTTAATACTAGGTTCCTTATCCCTCCCTCTCCTTGACTTTTCTATACCATTTGGTCACCCAGGTCCTCAAGCCACCATCTTTGATACCTGATGCATGTACATCCTTTCCATTAAACACATTTTCCTATCTCCTCCATTTTGCCCCATATCTGTGTGTAATAAAGGAAGTTTCTGCACATGTAAATAACACAGATGCAGAAAGCATTGGAAAGACTTCTCTCCGATTACATTTTAACAGCTTGATAATATTCTCAGAAATATAGTCTCTGTGACTATATCTCAAATTATTGGCTATTTCGGTTGTTTCTAAGTTTTCATAGTTATGAAGATCCTTGTGGAGCAATCTTTGTGCATCTGTTACTTCCTCAGGATAAAGACCTAGAGCATAATTGTTGAACAGTATACACATTTTTAATTCTTTGATCTGTATTGCCATACTG